AGGAATGGATTTTTATTCAAAGTTAACGAAATGAATCATGATGATCTTTTGTGTAAGTTCACAAGCATTACAATAGAAATTAGCGACATCACACTTTGTAAACAAATAAGGAAATATATTTTTTAAATAACTAAAGGAAACATGCCATAAAAGTGGATGCCATAACCAAATTTTAGATTACTTCCTCTATCCGTTAAAGCCATACATTATCAAAACTTGTTGTAGTTTATTATAACTTTTTGACATCAAGTCCAAATGGTATAGTTTCCCTGGATCATAACTAGTCACCTTTCTTGTCTAAAAATCTTTAAACAAACAAAATTTGGGCTAAAAATTACAACACAAGATAAAGTTTTAGTTATTTGAGAAACTAAAAAAAAGTTATAATCTAAAGATAGAACAACTAAAACATAATCTAAATTCGAAAGATCGGTAAGAGGTAAGGATCATTCTCTAATAAATGGAATTGTATTACCATTGACAATGAAAATAATTTTGTATGAAGATGATTTAAGAGGAGAGACCTATCTAGATTCAAATGTCATATGATTTGTAACTATTGAATCAATTATTCATATGCTATTACAAACGGATGCACAAATATTTAAAACTTTACCATCACATCCTATAGTCGTTACCAATGCTAAGTTCTTTTCGACAACATCAACCTCGGACTTAGTTTCAACAACATCCGTAGTTGGAGTCTTTTTGGAATTCTTCTTTCGTTCGTCACAATTATGATCCTACCACTCTAGATACTCACTAATTTCAAAACATCAATCTTTGATATGACAAGTTTGATTACAATAGGTGCATTTATAGGTGGATTTATTAGTGTCATTGGTAGTCATAGGTGATTGATTTCGAACCATCATGATCGAACTATTGAAACATTTAGATTCATTTTTTAAAGTTACTTGACATACCACCTCTCGTCAAACTAAAGCATACCATTCTTCCAAATCATGAACTATTTTCTTATCGTATAATATCTCTATAAATTTATTCAAAATCACCATCCAATCCAACAAATATGTGCACATTTAATCGTTCGATGGAGTTTTTATACCTTGCAATATCATCTCGGATCCTTCATGACCATTTTATCATGATGGTCTAATTTGTAAAAAACTTCGTCAACTCTACAAAATATACTTAAGAGATTATTGTCATTTTGTTCGGTGGTGAAAGCTTTTTGATTCAAAGTAAAAACTCAATTCATCACTTCCATCTTAGAAGATCTTTGACAAAAAAACTCCATATTTCACGAATGTTAGGTAATTGCAAGTCTTCGCTTCATAGTTTCTAGACTCATGGACATCAACAACCATCTCTTTACTTTTTGATTTTCGACATACCACTTTTCATATCCACCTTTTGATTCGCAGGTGGTTTCTTCTTGCCACAAATATAAGAGAGTTTCTCTTGTTCGGCTATATGCATCTCTATTAGTCATGATCGAATGTCATAAGTGAATCTTGAAAGAATGATTCTTGCATTGAAAGTGCTTTCAAATTGAACAATAATTGAAAAAAAATTTACGTTAGACATTTCAAATAAATTTTTTAAGAGAACAATCCCGATACCAACTCAAAATAAGAAAAAATATTTTACTTTCCCATTTTATTCATCTTTTTTAGTAATGAAATTAAACAATCGGTATACGAGATATGAATTTTCTAAGACCAAGGATAGTTGATCTATCTATATTTAATTTACACTAAATTTTATGATTAATTAATTCTATACTAGGAAATAATTGAAAATAAGAAAATCTCAACTATATAGACGACGATTCAATATCAATAAGGTTTACTTTTTTTTTTTAATTATTATCATTAGAGGAATATAGAAAACATGCTTTATAAAATTTCATTTTTTTCTCCCCACTCATCCTAGTGAGGATAAACAATTGAGTACTCTTAGTAAGATCATTTACTTCTTCATTATGGTTCATTTGGGAATTTGGTACACAATATAGAATCAAATAAGTACTCTTAGTCAAATTATTTAAAAACTTATCTTTTGATACTGATTTGAAAAAGAATGGCGGGTTTCTTTTTCGGTTTTAATAGATTTTTTATAATGGATGAGTTTTTTTTAATCGTTATTGAAACGTCCGGCTTCTTTTTATTATTGATTATCGGTCCACATATCAAAATTTAAACACCCATTCATTTTTTATTTTATTTTTTTGAAAAGCTTTTTGTTGTCGTAGAAAAAAATGAGTGTCTCTAAAGTATTTAGCTTTATATATATGTCACGAAACATTTTTAAAATATTTAAAAAAAAATAGAAAGAGGGAAAACTACATATTAATCATTATATTACGGTACTACATTAAAATCATGATAAAATGTTTCAAAATCTTCTTGGAATATTGTCTTGTTATTCAGCATTTCTTATAATCAATTATAGGGCAAACCCCAAAAGTACTCCTTAATTATAAAGATAGTTTCAATTTTAACACCAAACAATTTTTTGAACCAATTTTACCCTTAAATTTTTAGAAATTCTCAATTAAGAAATTTCATCTTTCTTTTTTTTTTAGTTTTTTTATCCATAATTCCATCCAAATAAAAAAATAACTTTATAGAAAAATTAACGTTTTTCATTAAGTTTGTTAAGTAACTACAAGAGCTCATTAATTGAAAAATCAAAATATTTGAGAATAAAAAAAAGATGTTAATCACATTTTTAGTTTATTAAATTATCAATTTTTTTTAATCAAATGTGTCTCTTTAATCTATGTTATTTGAGTAATTCAAGTTTTTTTTTTAAATCATGTGTTTTTATTAGATTTTTGTCAATTTTTTTCATTATTTATCCAAATGGCTCGTTAATAGGACCCACTTGATGTGTTACAATGACATGACAGCCATATGCAAATGATGTGACAAAAAAAAAATGAAAACAAAAGGAAGGAGAAAAAGAGTAACATGCCAAAAACTTCCACCATCGTTTAGCCTCACTCCTACCACGTCGATTGTCCCCTCTTCCAGACCACATTGTTGTCGATCAACCTTCTCTCACAATAGCCCTATCATCCCCTTTAATTGTCGTTCTCTTTTTAGTTTGGCAACCTTTTTTCCTTCCCTAAAACAAACTCGTCGTTCACCATACCCACTAGTTGCCACTTGCAACCACAACCCTTTTTTTTTTTATAATGCCGACCACATTGAACAATTCCAAAACCTAGGGATGACCATTCAGTTTTTGGTTTGTTTTTTTTTTTTTCAATTAATCAAATTGACAAACAAAAATCAAAATTGAATCAAATTGAGGTTTGGTGTTTTGGTTAAAAAACCAAAATTTTAGATTCAATTTTTGGTTAAAAACTAGTTTTTAAAATTTTTTTGCATTTTTTCTTCTAAATTTTGAATTTTCTCTTTGACCAAGCTCTTTTTTTTTTTTTTCATTAGCAAACTGGTTTGTTGGTAATCCACCAAACATTCGGAAAATAGACATAATAAGCTAAAAGAATTGATCGTAAAGTTTGCCGATTATGGCAACTCCTCCGAAAGAGCAATGACTAACAATGCTCATTTTATAGCATAGTCTACTTTATTGGTAAAAAATATTATCTCGCTCCATGGGAAGCAATCTCTAATAACCGCAAAATAGGGAGGCCAAAAGTGCAAAAGCTTAAGATGCGATGAGCGCTTCAAGTATGCAATGAGATCGAGCACGGTCCCGTGGCTTCTTCAATCCGAGGAACCATCTTTGTTCCGGGGATGTACATCTTGGGGTTGAGCAAGCAATTGTATGAAGTCTTCTCCTCCCAAATGACGACCATGTTCTTGTTAGCAACGAGTAAAAGTACCCAAGAGTCGTTCTTGATTGCCTTCCAAACAAGCCATTCGGATTGGGTCCTAAGGTGGTGTTTGATAAAACTAAAAATTAAGTGCTTGAATTTATTAAGTACTCGAATTTTAAGTGCTTGAATCCGTTAAGTATCGAATATGTTCTTGATAAGTCGTTTGGTATTTATCGAAAATTAAGTACTTGAATATAATAAGTTTGTTTGAAGATGATAGAATATATATGATATTTTTTAAGATTTTAGTTTGAACATATGTATCCGATTATATTACTCTTATTGTTTAAAATTTATTTTTTCAATTATTTTTTTCTTACTAAAATTCTCATCAAATTAATTTTTGATATTATTTTATTTGTTAATAAATTTAATTTTTTTAATATATGAATTTTGAAATAAAATTTTATAACATCGATGTTTTATTTTTCAAAAATATATTATTATAATTTATAAATTCGATATATATATATATATATATATATATATATATATATATATATATATATATATAGAGAGAGAGAGAGAGAGAGAGAGAGAGAGAGAGAGAGAGAGAGAGAGAGAGAGAGTATATTTTAAATAGTTTGACTTAATCGGATAAGTTAAAAATTTTAACCTATCCGATTAAGTAGATTTTAACTGAAGTTAAAATTTTAATATGAGATCATTTAAGTTATCAAATGAGATTTTTATATTAAGTAGTACAACTTAATTTTTTAAGCTACTTAATTAGGTTATCAAACACCCCTTGGACTTAAAGTTCTCCTCTCCGACTTTAGCATCGCCGAGTGGGGCTTCTACAAACAATGCCATTTCTTGTGTTTTTCTTTACTTAGCTTTTCTACAAAGGAAGGACTTTGTACTAAGCTGAAAAGCTATTTTTTGCAATTTTTAAGGAATGCTAATACTTTGAATTGTAGTTTTAGTAAAGAAAATCATATGAAATGTTATGAGCTTTATGTGTAAGTGTAAAAAAAAAAAAATTCAATTTTTAGTGGAAATCGAATTTTTCTTAAAAAAGAAACCAATTTTAGTTTTTGGTTTCATTTTTTTTTTAATTTTTTATACAAAATCGAACCAAAATTGCTAACTCGTTCGATTTTTGGTTTTGTTTTAATCCAATAGTGCTCACCCCTATTAAAGCCCATTGTCTCGCTGCAACTCTCCCTTACTGCTGCAGCTCTTAGACATCCACCTTCTTAAACCTATTGCTGTTGCCAAGTTCCCACCCACTGTCACTATTGACCACTCCATCCTCTGCCACCAATGTCGAAAACCACCCTTGAAACCCTCATCAAGTGACACTCAATCCGTTCTAAAAGAGCTCCCAAAAACAAAACCCATTTCAGCCACCATACTTCATTCCCTCTTTCTTGAACAACAAACCACCATTGAACACTATTTTTTATTTTGCAATTTTTTTTTTAAATTTTCCTAGCCATTTACATGTGACAGCCAAAAGTTTCACACGTGACTATTATGTCATTGTCACATGAAAAAAACTAATTCTATTAACGGACTATATGTACAAATAACGAGAAAAATTAATAGAAATTTAATAAAAATATTTAATTAGAAAAAATTATAACCTAGATCACTCAAATAGAAAAAAAAAAAAAAAACTTAGATTAAAAAGAATTGATAGGTCGATAAACTAAAATATTACCTCTGTACTTTTGAGGTACATTTGAGGTTTGCCATCAATTGTCATTATAACCGCCTCGCTCCATGTCTCTGTGTATCTCATGTCTCCCACTCAAAAAGAACAAGAAAAGATGTCATCGATGAAAGCCTCTGCCATCTGCTCGTCAAATATATATATACGTATCATCTAAAACTCTTTCGACAATTGATAAACGCACAACTCATCAGCAGTTGGCTGATTGACTCGCACAGACACACACACACACAGTCTCGGTCTGTATTGAGTCGGTTTACGGGACTGATGAGGCAGAGGATCCTCTGCACTGGCACAACTCTCCCCTTTTATTCTACAAACTTCATTTCTCTTCGACCCTATTTAACCCTATCTCGCTCTTTCACTCTCTCTTCCCTTTCTCTTTTTCATCCAATCATGCCTCAGGTACTCAAATTCCAAATTCTTCTGCTACTAATTTTTTTTTTTTTAATAATTGATAGTGTTTTTATTCTTGCTAGTAACTGTAATTGAAGAAATTGGGATTTTTGCAGAGAGGACAACAGAAGTGGAAAGGCAAGGCAAACACTGATAAGGCGGTGGCTGAAGCAGTCACTAACAGAATTGGTGGGTTGAGTATAGCTGAAAGTCAAGGAAATAATAATAACAAAACTATTGGGAAGCCTAAGTCATATGGAACAATTGCCAATGCGGATGTTGAAAATGCGTCTGAAACAGCCACAGCAACATCAGCTGCTGCTGCTCCAAAAAGCAAAGCTAGTTTGAGTCAAATATTCAAGGGCAATTTATTGGAGAATTTTACAGTGGATAATTCGACCTATTCACTTGCTCAAATAAGAGCCACTTTCTATCCTAAATTTGAAAATGAAAAGTCTGATCAAGAGGTACTATTGCAAATTTCTTTGTCAGTATTTTCTCTTTTGATTCTTTGTTTCCAATTTTCATGATTTTGATCATCTGTTGCTCGTTGCACTTTAACCAATTTATTTCTTCCAAATTTAAATGCACAGATTAGGGCCAGGATGATAGAGGTGGTATCCAAAGGGTTGGCTACCTTGGAGGTAAGGGGTTTATATAACTTTTGCATTAATAAGCTCTTGACTTGACACACTAGTTTCTGTTTTCGGAATACTCACACACCATGGAGTTGACAACATTCGCCACCTTGGATTGGCCCTGAAGTGAAAATTCCTTCAAACTACAGAGAAACTTTTCCAGTCTTTACTAGATATTATCTTAATCCAGAATTTTGGTTTATTATTCTCTAGATTTTTTTTCCTTCTAGTTCAGTGAGAAGCTAATTCTAAATGATGATATCCTTGACCCGTTGGATTTGTTGGAAATGACTTTTCTACAGGTAACTCTTAAACATTCTGGATCACTTTTTATGTATGCGGGTCATGAGGGTGGAGCGTATGCCAAAAATAGCTTTGGGAATGTGTATGTTCACATTACCCATTCACTCCCTTCCTCTCTCTCCCCATGTCTATCTAGTTTATTTTACTGTTTTATCAATTTTATACTGGTGCTGCTTCTAACTCAATTGCTCGTTTTCTTATCTGTTCTTGGTTAATTGGCGGGCAAGATGTTTTTCATATAATGACTTTACCACATTCTTCATAATTCATCATCAGTGGTTACTTTTGCCAATTGCATAAGGTGTAGCTTGTTGAACATAGTTTTCTAATGTAGATACACTGCTGTTGGTGTCTTTGTTCTTGGACGGATGTTTCACGAGGCATGGGGAACTGCAGCTGGAAAAAAGCAAGTGGAGTTCAACAATTTTCTTGAGGTAACATTGGCACAGGATTTAGAATGAACCGAAAAAAAAAAAAAAATCCAGTCAATCCTACGTTGTTTGATGATAATCTTGCAGTTTCTGGTTCTCTCTCTTTTCCTCCTCATCTTTAATGTTACCTTTTGTTATGGCATTTATATCTACGTATAATGTGTATATCTAACAATTTAAACCTCTGCTTCTTTCCAGCTTTCCTTCTCTAATTACAATGTCATTTAGCTTGCTGATTTCTGATTCCTCATCTGGTTCAAAATTTTCCAAGTGCATCATCCTACTACTATTGGAGCAGAATTCCTATTGTTTTATCATTATATCATGGTTTGCATTGAGAATAGTAACATTAAGGAGTAATTGTTGGAACTAATAGTATCATTTCCTTCATTCAGAGAAATCGCATGTGCATATCAATGGAACTGGTTACTGCTGTTCTAGGAGACCATGGGCAACGCCCTCGAGAAGATTATGGTAGCATGCTTCTTCCTTATTTTTTGACTTGGAATTTTGAGAAGTACTTCACATGCTCTTTAAGACATCGACTTATAGTCATTATTCTTTTATAGATGTGATTGTAAGTTTGACTTGTATTAGGAAGTTTTTATTTGTTTGATGTAAGTAGTTAGGAGTGAGAGCTTGAGTTTGAGCATATTCATTGGATGGTGAAATTCAGTATTCATGGTTTTATTATGCCTCATATTTTGGCAATGCACTTTGATAGAAGATGAATAATGGATGCACTTTGTCATTATTATGGAAAAGGCAGTGTGATGTTTACTTTAAAATTTAGTTGACAAGTCAGATGATTGTGAGGGCACATGTTTCCCTTCTTCCGTATGTTGTTGCTACATTTACGTAACTCCTTTGGGACTGTTAAATTGCTTTAATTGCTTACGTCCTGTGTTCTTGCTGCAGTGGTAGTGACTGCGGTCACAGAATTGGGCAAAGGAAAGCCAAAGTTCTACTCAACTCCCGAAGTGATTGCCTTTTGTAGGAAATGGCGCCTTCCAACAAATCATGTTTGGTTGTTCTCAACAAGGTAATGATCTGGAAACTGCATTATTTTAGCCTGTTGGAAGGATTGGTGTAATTTAGCAATTTAGCTATTAAATAATGGTTTTTATGGCATTGATAGACGACTGTCTCTGAAACTCTGAGAAGAGGGGCTGTCTTGCAATTTTAAAGTGGTTGAAATAAAGTGAAAGGGTTAGAGTGATGAAATGTTAACTTATTAATCTGGGTGGAGGGAAGAGAATCTGTTTTGGAATAGAGTTCAAAAGAGGATTTACTTAAGCAATCACCAAGGGAGAAGGATAGATTAACCTCTTATGGATCAAGAGAGTAGAAAGATAGATAAGAAAGAAAATGACACTGAGTGTGAATGGGGCATCAGGACTCTAGCAATACAGAATACGATTCATTTGAACAATATTAGTCCCAAAAAAAAAAAAAAAAAAAAAAAAAAAAACAAAATTTTCTTTTGTATGACTGGTTGATTGTGGTGAATGAACTTCATACGTCCTTATAATGTTGCTAAGTATGAACTGTTAAGCAAGCACAAGCTTTCTTAACTGCAAAGTTGCTCCATTGTGAAGCATTTTCACCTGAAGTATAGAAAATTTTCACAAAAACCTCAAAGTTGAGCTCTCAATTAACTAAAGAAATCCAAAATCACTGCATCCTAAGTGCTAAACTTAAAATTTTCTTGCTGGAAGAAATTTTACAGATGGCTGCAGAAAATTTAGAAATGTGGCTATGTTATTTTCTTGGCGGACTTTATATCTTTCTTCTTCTCAAAGAAGAATTATGTTCTCTCCAGAATAGAAATGCCATTGATATTTGTTTTGAAAACCAAAACTTTCCTTCCCCACCCCCCTATTTAGGGTGTATCTGATACAAGAAACCAAAGGAGGATCTATTTATACTTGTTTTTTAATATCATTTTCCTCCTGGCACAAAGTTCAAAATCAGTTCTTGTAATCTAGCAATATAACTATTATGGTACACTGGAAGTAAATAGGAGTTTTTACTACACTAGGAATCATGGTATCATTAAGTCCACTAACGTTATAGATGGCTACTATTGGAACAGCCATTGGAAAAAATGCAGAGGTTTGCATGATTTTTTAGCACTTTATTTTTTTAAGCCCCAATTAATGTTTGATAAAAGGCGATGCACTTGAAGAATTTTAACATAAGTGAGTTTGAACTGCATCGTGTGTGATCTTATATGTCACAGAAGCTAAGTGGGACATATTTTTTCTAATCAATATATATATTTGCCTTTTTTTCAAGGAAATCAGTGACATCCTTTTTTGCGGCCTATGATGCACTGTCTGAAGAAGGATTGGCAACAACTGTATGTCGGGCTCTTGACGAAGTTGCTGATATATCTGTTTCAGGTGGAGTTTTAAAGTAGAATGTTCTTCTCTTATGTAGTGATTTTAGATTTTGAATTGTATGTGTACTAAAAAGTCTGGAAATTGAAATTTCTCAATTTTCTGCAGTCACAAAAATGGTCATAAGGGATAGTTGTGGTAAACAGTAGAAGTTTTTAACAACTAATGAAAAGATGAATGGTATACCCTATGCATAGTAGGGATGGAAGGGTGAGGTGTGCATGTGCTCAGAATCAATTATTAAAAATTCAGATTAAACATCTCTTTTCATATTTTTTAGTTTTGGTATAATCAGTGAGAGTTGAAAATGTAATTCTGTTTAACAAGCTTAAGACATTTATAGTAGTTAATCAACTTTTATGGATATCCAGGTTCAAAAGACCATATAAAGGTGCAGGGTGAAATCTTAGAGGGTCTTGTGGCTCGCATTGTAAGTCATGAGAGCTCAAAGCACATGGAGGATGTATTGCGAGAATATCCTCCTCCACCAGTTGACGGAGGTATGATGCTTTGCCTTGTGTGTTGCATTCATCCTTTTCTTTTTTGTGGCCATTTGGAGACTTTAAGTAATCTTTTGATTTACCCACTGTTTTACTTTTTGAAATTGACAAGCCCCAGAACCTTTTTTTTTATATAGATGCTACTTTTGTATCCTGCTGTGGTCCCTAATGTACATTTGGAGATATGTATAGACATAGATTGCATGTAATGGACCCATGCCTATCTTCGTTTATTTGTTCACAATTTGTTGTGTCTTTGTTGAAGGGTCAACTCAATGCCGTCCCTTACCCTTCTCTACCCCTGTGATCACTAAAAGACACCACTAGTGAAACTTGCTTTTTGATATTTTGGAATTACATCTAATTAGATTTTATGCTCCAGCTGACCTTGACTTGGGGCCAAGTTTAAGGGAAATCTGTGCTGCAAATAGGTCAGATGAGAAACAGGTGAGTCAGAGTTATTTTCAACCCGAAATAAAGTATTGCATTTGCTTAAGACATTAGATTGTTAAAGTAACTTTATTTGATACATTATTGTTTGCTTTGTGAAATACTGCTGCAGCAAATAAAAGCGCTCCTTCAGAATGTTGGCTCTTTGTTTTGCCCTGACTTTTCGGACTGGTTTGGGGTCGAATCTGGTGATAGCCATTCAAAAAATGCCGACAGATCAGTTGTCTCGAAATTTTTACAAGCTCACCCTACTGATTTTTCAACTGCCAAGTTGCAGGTGAGACCATTCCATATTATTGGAAAATGTTGTTTGTTAATTGATTTTCTTGAACTCTCATAGTAATATGATCCTTCCGGACATTGTTGACAGCTATTATGGTTTGTAAATTAATCGAAGTTTTTTTATGAAACCAATATAGTGTTAAAAAACTGCTTGTGTTACTATTTCTAAAGTTGTAATTCTTACTTCTTGATTGAACTAGGAAATGATTTGTTTGATGAGAGAAAGGCGCTTCCCAGCTGCTTTTAAATGCTACCATAACTTCCACAAAATCGGTTCTGTATCTACTGACAATCTTTTCTATAAATTGGTCATACATGTCCTCAGGGACTCAGGTTTTCAGCGATATCAAAAAGAGATGAGGTTTTTGTTTGTAATTTTACAAATATTGTTTCGTTTTATCTTCTTATCAGTGCTGCCTAATTAAATGATTACTGTGTTGTAGGCACAAGCCTGAATTATGGCCATTGTACCGAGGTAAAACTCTTGAATCTTGTGCACAAGGGCAATCTAACTTTAGCGTGCATTCCAAAATTTCGTATGAGCAAGTTTAAGATATACATTTTTTATGATGCTTATCTTAAATAAAGTTAAAATCTCGTTCCATAAAAGTATTTGCAAACGTTTGCTGAGTTGGATTTTTTGAAATGCTATTTGTTATGAATGGAATAGCGATTAGCCTTTGGTTGTGAGGCAAAATGCTCAAATGTTTGCCAAGACATGTTAGACAGTAGAAAACAGCTGACGGTATACACTTGGATGTTCCAAACAGTATAAAGACCAAGAGATACATATAGTTAATCAAGTTGCAATTTATATTTATAAGCCCCATCTCCTATTTGCTATCCTCGATAACTGAAATGAAGCAATGAAAGGGGAAAAATGTATGATTATGTATTTACTTATTGCTTAATTTGATTTGTTAGGTTTTGAGAAGGGTGGAGGGCACTGGGAGGTGGGAGCTTAATGATTTATGCTCAGGACTTCTAACATCTTTTTAATCATGTAGGGTTTTTTGTTGACATTAATTTATTCAAGGCTAACAAGGAGAGAGCTGCTGAAATTGCAAAAAACAACAATAACATAGTTGGAAATGTTAATGATAGTGGTGGCAGACCAACAAAAGATGGTTTAGCTGATGATGATGCAAATTTAATGATCAAACTGAAATTTCTTACATACAAGGTATGTGCTCTTCAAAAGATTTTTATTTGATTTAAATTGTATCAGAAAGTATAAAAGTTCTCTATGTTTGCAGGTTAGAAACTTGCAAACAATGATGCTTCTATTTATTGATTTATTTATTTAGTTAAACACTGCATTTTTTTGTTTAAAGTGTTAAAACAGACAGATGCAGGAGGTTGAATGAATTATCACAAGGCTTTTTAGAAAACCTTTTTTTTTTTTTTTTTCTGATAAAGCTTAAGTAATAGCTCAACAATTCCTACAAAAGCTTGTAGAATTTAGCAATTAAATTTTATGAAAAAGGTAATTTTTTTCCTTCTCTCCTCAATACACTTTTCCTTTGTAGTTATTGATTTATTGTCTTCCTCGTACATTAGCTATCCAATGAAGTTGCTTTTCTTTTTGAAATTGGCTGAATAATGGTGCCTTTACTTTCCAAGAACAATTTTGTACTTTTTATCTCTACTTTAAATTTACTTGAGCATAAAAAATAAAAAAAATATTAGTAACGAATGGTTTTCCGGTATAGGAAACTGGAGCCTCATTGGAATTTTCTTTGAAAATAAATAAATAAATAAATAAAGAGTGATTAAGAAAGGTGAGGAAAACATGCTCAGCACATCCTAAAAAAATGGATATATGGAAAACTACTTTTAATATTTCTCTAGTTTTTTTTCAGAAAAACTTGAAGAATTAAACTTTCTAAGCTAATAATTTTAATAAATATAGAATACTGAAAAAAATTCTGTTTTTCTTGATAATTCTTTTATAAGACTGAAAGAATTTGTGCAAAATCTGTTATATTTGTGGACATGTGGATTGATGTAGGATTTATAAGCTTATTTAAGCAATGTGTACTCACTGGTGGAGAACTCAATAAGATTACAGTTCTATTGACTTTTTGTGATCTCAATTGGGATTTACATTCTGATTTTTTTTTTAATTGGGATTTGATGAAGATACGCAACCCTTATTTTTTCTCTATTACCTGTTCTTTTATCCAGTTGAGAACCTTTTTGATCCGCAATGGCTTGTCAACTCTTTTCAAGGAGGGCCCACCTGCCTACAAGGCATACTACCTCAGGTTAGTTTTGTTCTTATTTGCTGCATTTGTGCTGGAAACTTTGCAAGTGCATATGCTTGCATATGTGATTTGTACTAAAATTCTAGTTACTAACTGGTGTCAAAATCTTTATTGTAAATTGGATTCAATTGAATTCTTCAAGATGTAGGATCATTTGTCTGCATGGTTTGCCCTTGCTACATCAGAAATTGCTTTGGTGAAGGAAACTGATTTTTCTTTCAGAATATGTAACAATCAAGATCTTTACTCTTTTCATTCCCCAGTCATGCTTCTCTTGTTATAATCATCGTTAGCCTTCACTCCATCCAATACATGATTGCAGAAGCCTATTTATTATCATAAAGTTATGTTCAGTGCAACTGTTTCATGCAATTCTTGAGTGTTACTAAACATCATAATGTGGATTTGGTGTGTGATTGTGCAGAATGGTGCAATAGGGTCCATATAGTTGAACCCAACTAGTTTAGGCTTGGTTGTAGTTGTTTGTAATGATGTAAAATTTGAATTCTAAGTTTCAGCCCCAGCTTGATCACCATATGTTCTTTATTTTACAGGCAGATGAAAATCTGGGGCACTTCAGCTGGAAAGCAGAGAGAACTCAGCAACATGCTTGATGAATGGTACTGTGAGAAGTACTCTGGTACTCCCTGATCTGCAGCATTTTTTTTCATATTTGGCATACACAGGTAGTGAATAGAATCTCTCTTTCAATGTTTAGGGCTGTACACATACGAAGAAAATATGGAAAGAAGCAGTTGGCATCTTCAATTTACCTGACTGAGGCTGAGCCTTTCCTTGAACAGTATGCAAGTCGAAGTCCAGAGAACCGGGCTTTGATAGGATCAGCTGGCAGCTTTGTTCGGGCGGAAGATTTCATGGCCATCATAGAAGGAGGTAGGGACGAAGAGGGTGACCTTGAGGCGGATAAGGAGGTGGTGCCTCCTAGTCCTATTTCCTCAGGCGAGGAAACTGTTCAAAAGGATAAGGGTTTGATTGTTTTCTTTCCAGGTAAATTTACCTCCCCATTAGATATGTAGCATGCAGTACAACTTTTCATGGTAACTTATGGTGACCACTTCTTTAGTTTATAGGAGATCAGGGGGATTACAACTGATTTGTTACATCTTTACAGTTTGAACTATCTTGGAGGTTAACAAAAGAGATTTATTATTACATTTTTAGTTGTCTAGACTTATGTTTCTCTATATTATTTTAGCATGGAACTACCTTGCATGGCTTTCTCTCAGCTTTAATATCAGGAGCTAAGCAATTCCACTGAAGTGCTTGGTGTTTTTTCTCCATTTCATGTTAAAAACTGTATACTTGCAAAATTAAAATTTAGAATATAATTGTAACTGTACTTTAGACGTGGAATGTGATAGTGATCAACACTGTTACGTGTCGGGATTTTGCAATCCTGTTATATTAGAACCTGATATGCATTTGGTTCTAGCTGTTGACATGCTTCACGGCTGTCAGACTTTAAATGTCTTAATTTTTTTAAATCTTTTTCTTACAGGTTATGTTTTGCGCATCATACTTCTACAATGTTATGTTTTGCGCATCATACTTCTGCAATCTTACTGTCTTATGTTGTTGGAATTGATGTACAATTATTTGTTTTTCTCAAGTGAATTATTTTTTTTAGTAGCTGGAATTTTGCATGGTTAAATTTTAAATCGGATTATTTGGCATTTATTGCTTTTAAAACCTAAAGTTTGGTGCCTAACAGTTTAATTTTATCCAGAATTTTAGTCCTATTTCAAACCCACATAAGATTCTCTGACATTTTGTGAGAACTTGATCTTGAACAAGGACCTAAGTTTTGGGTACAAGGATTACAGAACAAGTTTATGAAACACATGGGCTGATGCTTAATTATATATTAGTAACTAATTATAGGTTTTAAAAAATTTCAGGAACTCAACTTTAGCTACACTTGAACATCTGGCTCTAAAACATTCTTTCTCAAAATTTCTAGAGTCAAGTTCCTGTCTAGAGTTAATATTCAAACAATGAATGATAGATTGTCTCGAAGCTTGTCTATTATTGTGTTAATTACCTATGCATCTTGTGATTTGAAGTTAAACAAGTGGATGTGTCCTATGATGCGGTGACAACACAGAAAAATTAAAATTACTAATACAATTTTTGTTTTTGGAAAAAAAAAAAGGAATTCCATTAATTTCCAGTTATTCAATTACTAGGGTCATATTAAAACTTTCTAAAAATTTTAAGATTCTTATTGAAGAAATTACAAACATGGGAACCTGAATGAAATAAGTATGAAGGTATAGGGATCAAATTGTAATTTTGCACGACATAGGTTGTGTCCAGCTGTTTTTATGTTCTTTCACCCGGTCCTTCATTGACAGCTTGGGCACCTCGATCACTATTGCCTAGGACACCCAGCTTTCAATTTATTAATTGTTAACATATTGTTCACATAATAAGGTAAGAGGCATGATTTCTTGAAAATTATGCTGCATGCTTGTCTAAAGTACCAGAGACATTTTTTAGTGAAATTACTTGAAGCTTATTTTAGAGACCATTTGCTAAAATTTGTTAATGATTCATCCTTGCTACATTGTTTCTGCAATTCAAAACCAATTTCTTTGGACAATCTTTTGAACGAAACATGGGTGTTTGCCTTCATTGCATGCAATCTTTTTCATTTTTATTTTGTAACTCCTATTGAGATTGCTTCTTTATTCCCTCATAGTGTGGGTTCACTTTGTTGTATCCTTTTGGATTCCTGTTTCCAGGAATTCCGGGATGTGCTAAGTCTGCACTTTGCAAGGAATTACTAAATGCCCCTGGAGGTCTTGGAGATGATCGCCCGCTCCATAGTTTGATGGGTGACCTTGTTAAAGGTATTTGATTTCAAGCAAAATTTCCTTTCTTCTTTGCAGTGTCATGCTTTAGGTGCTTTTAGGGGAGTTTCTTGTAGCTGATGGTGGGATTGGGCTGTTTTTATGATATTTGTTTTGCTTTATTAGTTGGGAGGATGACTTTATTCTCCATCAGGCTTTTGCTATTAATAAAATTCTCTTAAAAAAATTGTATTTAATTGTTCTACATTATGTTTTTCATAAACTAATTGGAATTTAGCATCAATTGAAGGGTATTGAATTCTCCCTTAGGTGCAATTTCTAATCATGGTGAAAGCTGATGTAGTGAGATCTTGATTTCAGAACTTTGTCACAGCTGTTGGTAAATCCTTCTAGCATGAGCAGGTTAATGGAACTTTACACCCCCAAACACCTAACATTATTCAGGATTCAAATTTTTTTTTTTTTTTTTTTGAATTATTTGTCAAAATTTGAGGCAGTGATTTTTAGTTTGGATAAAAAGGTAAGTTAGTTTTATGAGATAGGGAAGAATCAATTATGTGTAAGATAAGATATTCTCCAAAACAGGGAAAAAGAAAAGGAAAATGAAAGAAACAAGATAAACATTACAACATGGCAATCCCATCTGATCGAAGATACAGCAAAAACACTAGTCAAAATGCCCTGAAAGTAGAACCATGCAAGTAGGTCAGATATCCATCCTGTCCACAATAGTTGTTTTCAGAGTCATTTCAAGATGCGGGAGTTCCATTCCATGCATAATCTTCAAAACTACTGCAAAAGCAGCACACTTTCATAATGTTGATGGAAAAAAAAATTATTTTACTAAAAGTACTGTCATTATGGCATTGTTAGAAGTCAGGAATGTGAAGGAAAAATTGCTCTTAGAATATTAGTTTTCCTAATTGCATGATTATAGAGATAATTTGAGCCTGAATTCCCTGATAAGAACACAATAACTTAAAACTTTAGTTGACCACTATGGATGTTTCCTTTTGTTCATGTTTATGATCATTCTCTTTTATTTCAAATATTTTAAACCTCATTCGTAGAGGTTTTTTTTTCAATTGTATAATCATTAATTTGTATTTTATTGGTTTCAACAGGAAAGTACTGGCCGAAGATTGCTGAGGAGCGGAGGAAAAAACCATATTCTATAATACTCGCAGACAAAAATGCACCAAATGAAGAGGTTTGGAGACAGGTAATCTGATCTAATGTGATTACAAAAATTTAGTGGCAAAGGATGGAAGTAATTTCATCCTTTGTTGGTTTTGAGTTGGCTAGAGGATTCTATTTGTTTTGGCATGATAGATGGTGTGGGAAAGAATCTTTCAAGATTTAATTTCCTGTACGTTTGAGTTGGCTGGAGACAAAGATGCTTTAAGGAGTTAATTATTTTGAGATAAATCATGGCTTTCTCTCTTTAAAAGTAGCTTTTGGCAGGAATGCACAATATTTCGAGATGGAATCTTTTTACAAATTCTTGGAATTAATCTTTAGCACCAAGGGTAATGTGGAAGACAATAAGGTGGCTATTTGCAACTTAGAGTGTGGCAAAGTCCAGTTTTAAATTTTTTCACAAGGCTTTGTTCATATTTGAAGGTGGTGATGGAAGATCCAACTTTCTGTGGAATGCTATAAGGAGTAAAGCTCCATATAATAATCTTCAACTTAGGAAGGACTCTTAACTATAGGATGCTGTTTGGTAATCATGAATAGAGTGATGGAAATGAGAATGCGGGAATCGGAATGAAAATTAAGGAATTGGAATGGTATTTGTATTTCCATACCGTGTTTGAAATACTAATGAAAAATTGAAATGCAATTTAAATTTTTTAATATCTAGTTTTTTATACAAATAAAAATAATGATCAAAAAAATAATTTTATTAAACTATAATGGTTGTAAAAATAACAAAGATAATGGTGATGATTGTGGTTATGATAGTGGTGGTTCTAGTGATGATGGTTGTGATGATGGTGGATGGTTGTAAAAATAATAAAGGTAATGGTGGTAATTGTGGTTATGGTAGTGGTGGTTCTAGTGATAATGGTGGTGGTGGTGATGATGGTGGTTGCGGTAGTGGGTGGTGGATGGTGGTGGTGGTGGTGGTGGTTGTGGTAAAAATAGTTAATAGACAATAAATAAATAAAATATATTATTATTTTGAGAAAAAAATTCATTCTCATTCCTTGTTTTTATTCTCACATCTTATATGTGAATGAAGTTGTGTGTAAATTTTCATTCCCATTCTCAATCTTCATTCACATTCCTACTTTATCCTTTTAACCAAACAACTACAATGTGGGAATAAAACTTCCATTTTCATTCTCACCACTCTATTCTTGATTACCAAACAACACCTAGATAATATTCAAAGTAGTTAGATATTTGGGATAAATATCTTATGCTCCAAGTTCAATTGTTAATCATTTTCTTTTACACTGTAAAGTACATAAGCTTGTATAAGTTGTGGTGTATGGGACTATGGGTTTTCATTAGGTCACAACGAAGTCAGTTGATTGAGAGTAAGTTTTTGGAGAGGTTGTGCTTTTTCGTATAGGAAAAAAGACAGATCGAGCTGTACATTTTTCTAGCAAAATAATATTTTGTGTGTTTTGGGAGGAGCAAAAGAAGAATGCTGAAGGAGGAAGAGTTTGATCAACTCCGTGAAGGATTTTTTAGGTTAAAAATCTACAATTTTGGCATGCTAGATATTCTTTTTGCTAATGTGGAGTCCTTAGACCCCATAGATAATTTATTTTGGATTTAGTTCACGTGATGTTTAGTTGGTGATTCTTAGCTACCTGTTTCTTTTCCTCAATAGATGGGTGGTATCTCATTAGTTCCTATATCAGTAGATTTTTGCAACTCTTTTTATTGTGAGGGAGAGAGAGAGATGCTTTATTGTACAAATATTATCAAGAGTTTGCTTAATGGTTAATAGTGATTTTTCTTAATTGTAGTGTTGACCTAGATTGCACATAGGGTCATATTCATTGTGGGTTTGCAGAACTTAGTTCACTTGTTTCTCCAAATGTTTTTTATTTTTTTTATATACTTACAGCCAATCCCAATTCATCAGATTGCTGTTAATTTCTAATTAGTTCCCACTGAAAATAGTGTGGACTAGAGGTTAACCAAAAATTGACTGGATTCTGTGTTAATTGAATTTCAAAAGACATGCATATCTTATGATAGGCCTTTTACATTGTTCAGATTGAAGGGATGTGCCGGAGTACCCAGGCCTCTGCTGTTCCAGTCATACCAGATTCAGAAGGTTACCCATCCCCTCTTGTACCAATTCTCTTAATTTTTGCTTTCCATTTGTTGTGAATAGCAAGAATTCAGTGCCTTTTTCTGTCATTATTCACTTGTGAAAATTCAGCTGGATGTATATTTGTAATTTGCTTCTCATGATGGCTGATTTGGTGAACTTCTTTTTAAGAAGATCTAGTCATCACTGAAGATCTACAGAGCTGTGAAATCAAATGCACATCGAATTATAGGTTAAACCCTGCATGTAGAAGGCTCTCCACTTTTGAAATGCGTGCCTGCCTTCTAGATAATTCCAAGTTTTGGAACTTTCAAATGGTCGATTCAACTTGATCAGGGTTGACAGTATATTAGTCAGTGATCTGAATGTAATTTTCATGTCTATGAGCTTATGTATAGGGTACCTTATTAGGTTGCTCTGCTATCATGTCATCTCAAATCGCTCTCGTCTCTCTTTGACATATAAACCCTAGCAATCAGATTGAAAGTCATAGTCTTTACTTTTGATGTTTCATTGTGATTTATTTTCATGTTGTATGTATAAACTATTAATTTCTTATGTCAGCGATTAACTTTTTTCCTGTCTGTTTAATATTCAGGGACGGATTCAAATCCATTTTCTCTTGATGCATTATCTGTTTTCATGTTCCGTGTACTTCAGCGTGTTAATCATCCGGTACATGCCATTCATACTCATTTAATTGGTAAATTTTGCCAGACACGTGTGTAAAATAAATCTTTTTAAAACGGTCCTCTTTGCTTTGTACTTTTAAAGGGAAATCTGGACAAAGCATCTCCAAATGCTGGTTATGTGCTACTTATGTTCTATCACCTCTATGATGGCAAGGTATTGTTTTATGTTTGTGTGGTCTGGCCTCTAGGCGTGCCTGCATTTAAACTTTTTTTTCCCCCTTCTATCATCTCCTCCTTTCGTTTTTCAGAATCGTGCTGAATTTGAGGGTGAACTAATTGAACGTTTCGGCTCTCTTGTCAAGATGCCATTGCTGAGATCAGATAGGTAAGAATAACTTCAATGACAGATATTTATATTCTCTCCTAGTAATTACCTCATCTTTCAAATTATAGTTCTTTCTTTTCTTTTCCATATCTTTACTACTATTTTTAGGGCCACTGCTCTTCTTTCAAGTATTTTCTTGAAGTGTGAGGTTATGATTTTTATTTTTAGATAAACTTTTGCACATTACTCTGTTGTGGCCTTAGGCTTGCACCATCTTCCTATAAAAATTCCCAGTGGGTTCATTCTTCCATGTCATAATCCTCAGGCTAGAGACATTATTCTCTCATAAATTTCCACAATTGCATTACTTCCTAGAGAAAATTAGTAACACCAGCTCACAGCATTTGCCTTAGTTTGTCTTTCATGTGGTAAGTGAGCATCATTTTTCAAGGTTTGTACAGGAAGTAAAAAATCCATTACTGCACAGTGGCAGATAAATAGTAAGTTTAGTACAATAACAGAGAAAATAATTAAGTGCCTTGATAAATAGAGAGATTCGTAAAGATCAGGTGACCTCTAATCACTAGAGTACATACTACTCAAATATCAAGCATTTGCTTCTCGTCAGAACAAACACTGACAAAATTTCATGTTGATAACAAACACTGACAAATTTTCATTTTAATATCTTGCAGTAACTATGTAGCCTTTGTCTCTTATCGAACTTGCAAATGTTTAACTTTCCTCGTGGTGAATAAGCACAGTGCTCTATACTTACAGCTGAAGCAAAGACCCCTGAATATCATACTAACCTTGTGGACAGTGCCTGTCCGGTCATTATTTTCTGACCTGAATCACACTTACTTGACGCCATCTTGATGAGCCTTGAATGAAACACTCTGAAAACAAGCTGTCCTTCAATTGTACCTTTGTCTATATTATTATTATATTATTTTATACATATACTAGAACTAAATGTAGTTTCACTATAGCTAAGCCTTTTTTTGTCTTTTTGTGAATTTTTTGTTTGTTTTGATCCGTATTTTGTGATCTTACCATTATTTTAGCAATTGGAGTTTTGGTCATGTTAGTTTTGACCCTGCATGCTGCAAAGTTTTCTTTTCTTTTTTTTTTTCGGTTCTTATATGATACTTATATTTCAATCCTTCAAAGTTTAAAATTATTTTTATTATGCTCATTTTTATTGTTATATTTTAATTTTTCTTAAAATTTTTTATTGAATTATTGAAAATAGGCTCTTTGATTTGACTTTAATACATTATTGGAGTAAATTAGCTTTTTTATTTATTTAAACAATTTTGTTTGTCTTGCAAATAAATAATCTGATTTTTTTGGGAGATATGTCGGTGAAAAGATTTTATAAGTTTTGATATCAAATAAGAATATGGAAGAATAACAAAATCAATGACTTAAAAAAAGACAAAATTAAACTTTTTATTTCTAGATGGAGATAATGTAATCTCCAAAATTTTACTGTTCTTTTTTGGGCTTTTAACTAAAGTTTTCTTTCCGTTTTGGTCCTTGTTATGTGATCTTTATTTTGTTTTGATCATTGAAGTTTTATCATGTGTAATTTTTGCCCATACCTTATGCATAATGAGTTTTTTGGTTTTATTGTCTCTATGTTCTCTTTGGCTTTTAGTGAAAATTTTCTTTTCATTTTGGTCTTCTGTAATTTTTGTTTTGTTTTGGTCATTAAAGTTGTCATTTTGCTTGTATATAAGTTCTCTATCATTTTGTGTTGTGTCAAGCTAAAATAGAGTTTTTTAGGTTCATTTGTTTATGTTGACTTAATATTTCTTTGCAATTGTTTTTTTTCCAGTAATATCTAACAAGTTTGATCATATCAAGACAAACAAACTATAGATATAAAATAGATGGTGGAAACTATGACCCTGCAAGATTCAAGAAGTTGTCACATCATTATTTTGATTGCTACTTGTTATACATGTTTCTAATAAAATGCCTGATTATATCAAGCAATATTATATTGCTCAACTTCACATGCTTTTCTTTTGAATTTTTTTCACGAGTTCCCTTTAAATAACTGTTTTGCACAGAATGGTTTGTATATTCGTTTCTTATTATTATCTGATAAAAAGTCAATTCAAGACCCCTTATTTTTTATTCCTATAAAGTAGAGTTATTTAAAAGTTTTGAAATAATTTCTTTCTATATCGTTTTGAATTGTCTTATTACCCCCATTATATGGAATGTTAGAACTCTCTATTTTATATGGTTGAACACATAAGAAGGTTATGTAGCTCACCCCGCAACAACATGCGAGACACATGCTAGTTTAATATTAAATTGTGTATGAAATCTAATCTAATTTGTGACAATTAGGGAGTTAAATATCCATATGCATGAAAAGTGCCAGTAATTTCAGGGAAATCTCCTTGTAGTATGTTGATATTTGAAACTAATGGAACTGTGGAAATAGCAAAATGGTGAAATATGACTTTGCAGTGCAATGTCTCAATCAGACTAGGTCTGAGGATAGATTGGAGTTGGCATAAGATTCTCTAATGTAGCCCAGCTTTGTGACATCTCTAAGAAAATGGGTTTTCAACACATTTATGAATGACATATTTTTCGACTTTGGACTATCACAAATGCAAGATCTTTTATCATTTTTCCCAGTGTTGTCACCAACCCAACCAACCCCACACAAACAACACCCACACCCCCCCAACACACACACACACACACAACACATGTGATTGCATATTTTTTTCAGTTATTTTAGTCTGGACCCTGAACCATTTGTTTGGTTTTTTACTTTTTTTATTTGCAGGAGTCCCCTGCCAGATCCAGTGAGATTGACTCTAGAAGAGGGAATAAATTTATACCGACTGCATACTAATGCACATGGAAGGTATACATCCATTATATTTATTATGCCCAGATAGTGTGCTTTAAATTTTGCATGGTAGGATCTATTTGAGGTATGCCATGCATTTAGATTTGACTTTGTTTTTCTTTGAGATGCATGGTATCATGGAATTTCTAATTGAAACCTATAATAACATAAAAAAAATGAGCATTAAGAGACACAATAACAATCTAGGTACTTGTGCCATCTGTCATCAGTCTTCACATTGCACTACTCTTCTTTTAGCTGAGTTACTTGGCATAGAATAATAAATTAAAAAATCAAGTAGAAATTATTTATTATTATTATTATTTTTTTTTTTTTTACATATGCGCTACTTAGACACCAATAAATCACCTCTGCCTATTATCTTTATTTTTTCTGTGGCTATTAGTATTAGCACCCCACCTACATTCCCCAACGCCACAGTTTGAGAACTTTGGCTGGTCTTGTCGCATCTATTCTAGCAACCTCTCTTGCACCAATGAAGACAATCATTGCATGAACTTCTATTTGCTGTTGATTACAGTGAGTTACCACTATGTTAACCGGAAGACTTACTGTTGACCAATATTCCATTATCAATGAACATAGTTAATAAATTACATAAGAGTAAAAGTTGTCTCTCACTCTATTGAACAGTTCTTATTGTGGCCTGATGCTGTGATGCTGTAGTCGTCACATTATTTATGGCACTACTATGAATTAGTGCTATGGGCCTTATAGGCATTCCCGCAATTATTATTAGCTGTCTCACATCTTCTACGTCTTTCAATTATTATCACTGTAATACATAGAGGAGAATAATGCCAGGATTACAAATTGGACCTCAATTAGATACTCCTTTCCTTCGTGTATCTAACTTGCAATAAAAATTAATATGAAGCTTCTATTAAAAAATATTCTCAACGGTTCTCTTTTTGAGTGAGGACACTTGCATTTTTGTTGTTCATTCTGTGCTTAGATTGGAATCCACTAAGGGTTCATACGCAATGGAGTGGGCTAAGTGGGAGAAACAATTGCGGGAGGTTTTAATTGGCAATGCTGAGCATCTCAGTTCCATTCAGGTTTAGATCTTCTACCTTTGTCTGTGCTTGTTGTCTCTGCACCTTTTCCAGGACAAAACTCAAGCTCCAATGAAATGCCTAGTGCACTAATTAATTTCTTCTTAATTTGTATCCATCTAGGTTCCATTTGAGTCTGCAGTAAGGCAAGTGTTGGAACAGCTACAGAATATTGCAAAGGGAGAATACACACCACCAAGTACAGAGAAGAGGAAATCTGGCGCAATTGTTTTTGCTGCTGTCAGTTTGCCAGTTACAGAAATCTCCAGTCTCCTAGATAAGGTAAGCACGAAGTTTGTTTTCTTATTTTCTTTTTGAGTCTCTGTTAAGGGCATTGGGCTTGTATGGTTTAATGACATTTTTAGTCTCTACAATTAGACAATTTTCACTCATTGATCCTTAGGCTCCGAATGCATAATTAGATTTGGGCTTTAATTTCATGACACAATTTTTCGTCATTCCATCCAAGTTTTTCTTTAACTTAAATATTCACCAATAATTAGGTGGCAGTGAAACTTTAGTTTTTTACCATCCCAAACTTGTTTACAAAATGGGCATTATTATCCGTTCCATACAGTTGTGCAGAAAAAAGTGTTGATTCTGTCGGTCACTTCCCATGTCATCACCCAACCTTAAAAACCCTTTTGTGGGATTGAAGAAACAAAGAGCAATGTCAAAATATTTTATCAAAAGAACTTTCTCTACCCGATCATTGCTATAAAAATACACACAGCTGAAACCCACTATGCCGCCCCTTGCCCAATCTCCGAAGGAAAATAAAGGAAAACAGAGTTTTATTTAGTACTGCATTGCAGCAAGGATATATATATATATATGGAAGTTGGAAAAATTGGGCAGAATTATAAAAAGGATGCTCATAGCATTGCTATGAAGTTGAAAGTTAATTAGTTCAAGGACTTGATTGCACATTTTCAGTAGTTAGAGTTTAATGTATGAGCATGGACATTCAGGGACCCGTATCTATTAAGGTTCGGACTTCATGTTTAGATGCTGGAGGAAGTGTTTTACTTATTAATAAAGCCTGTGAGAATCTTATTGTCCAAGTACATGGTGAATCAAGTTCAACAATAACTAAGGCTTGATATGCCTAGTGAGAAGCCAGACTGGGTTCTCTCTTCAATCCGCATCCCTTTCCCTCATATAAATAATAAACATGGAAAAAGCTAAATTTGGAAGCTCATATAAAGACCTCCTTATTTCTCTCCTCTTGTTCTCTCTCTTTGCCCTTATTAATCCATGAAGACTTTTCTGTCGCATAGGCTACTTCTATCTGGATTTTGCTGCTTTCCTTTCTTTTGTTTTTTATTGTTATTATTATTATTATTTATTATTTATTTATTTTGTGGCTGTAAAGGTATAATATCTGGTCTAACATGTGTCTATTGAAATAGTTGGCTGAGGATAACCCCAATGTGAAAACCTTTCTCTCGGACAAGGACATGGAGCAGAACCTTAAGAAGGCTCATGTCACTCTTGCCCACAAGAAAAGTCATGGTGTTACGGCTGTAGCTAGTTATGGGCTTTTCCTCCATCAAAAGGTCCCTGTGGAATTGACTGCCCTTCTTTTCACTGATGAAATGGCTGCACTGGAAGCGGAAATTGGTTCTATTGATGGCGAAAAAGTTGTACCAAAAAATGAGTGGCCCCATGTTACCATATGGACTGGAGAAAAAGTTGCGGCCAAGGAGGCCAACAGATTGCCTCAATTGCTTCTGGAGGGTAAAGCAACTCGTACTGAAATCAATCCACCCATCACCATATCTGGCACAATAGAATTTTATTAGAGTTCTTTGATTGTTCTTCCTGAGATGCATTCACTGGTCGTGGAATGATTTTGATTGCGTTACATGTAAATTTTGAATGTAAAGTTTTTCTCACAAAATTTTGTAGGTGATAGGCACTAGGCAAAGATGGTTACGAAGATGATTGTGAGAATTAGGTGGAAATTGAGTTCTGTTCCTGAAAAATATCATCCACAAAGGCTAAATGAAATAACAGTTCAATGGAATTAGGAGAGATTTCAGATTACTTTTAATTTCACCAACAAAAGCCAAATGCTTTGTCAATCAAGTCCATAAACTAGCTCTCTTGCTTGTACAACAAACACACAGGACAGGAGAGAGGGAAAAAACTGGCTTCTGAAACCAGCTAAAAGTCATCAAATCCTAGTGACCAAGACTCATAATTGGGAAAGTAATCAAAGCAAATCAGCTTCAAAATGCTTCCGTCTGACAACATCCATTTTCGCCCTTTGCTGAAGGTTCTATCAGCCCACAAAATTCACCTTCTCCACAGCTAGAGTTGGTAATATCGCCACAGCCTCTCCATCAATAACGAGAAGCTTATCATTCTTGAAGCATTTCGTCAAGAATTTCACTCTGATGGATTAACAACCAGAAACCAGGTCAAATACCGCCATCTTGCTTCATTACTTCAAAACAAAAACAGAAAGCTTAATGTAGCTTACATGTATCTACTCTTGTTTTCTCTTATATTTGCAGCTTGTACCTCACCAACAACTCCATCTCCAATAAATACAGGGCTTTTAAAATGTAAGCTTTGAGAAACATATACAGCTCCAGGCTACAAAAAATCAGCAATCTCAATATTTTCTGTCAATGGAAGAATGAAAAACAAATAACTTAAAAAAGAGGGAAGGAGTCATGACTTACAAAGTGGGATGCAATAATCCGAGGAAATAGAGCAGCAACCAGCATTCCATGGACAAGCCTATCCTCGAATCCAGCATTCCGGGCAAATTCAGATTCGAAATGTAAGGGATTGGAATCATGGCTCACCTTTGAATATTCAATAACGTCCTCGTTTGTGAATATCCTCGTCTGCCTTAAATTATCCCCGGCTTTCAGAATCTTCCGTGGAGGCGGGGCTGTCCCTGAAAATTTTCTCGTACATGGGACTGAACTCGAAAGCAAACTCCTGAAAAGCATAATGTTTCTACTAAGCATTTTAACAAACATTTGGAGTACGTACCAGCAATTGCTTTATTATTAGTCAAGAGGAACGTGGGTTTGATAAAAGAACTTCCTAATTGGCAACGAGCAATGTAACAAACACTTGAAGTGCATTCAATCAAGCATAAGAGAATTTATAAGAGTGATTGCAAGGGTGGTTAAATTTCAGTTTTTCCTCTATGATAGTTTACTACACGTTTTGTTGATGGGTTCAGTAGTGCTGGTCCTGCTGGATGGCTTGTAATCCCGATGGAGAAACAATTGCCATTTTATTCAGTTGTTGACGACGAGGTGAGGTGGAAAGACCTAAATGCTCCCTCCCTCCGTACTAAAGATATCGTCTAGCGTTTTTTTTTTTTTTTTTTTCAATTTATTTATCTTAATCAAAATATTAAAGATATTTTTTTTCATAATATCTCTAATTAAAACTTATTTTAAAAAAGACCAATAACTAAAACGAGAATTTAAAAAATTATATATATGCATTCGTCACTTACTTGTCAGGTCTATGGTCTCTGGATATGAAATTTTAGCATGACTTGCTTGTAATTTTATGTGCATATTAAAACTAACTCAAAAAATAACTATTCTCTAAGAAAGGTTATCTTACTGGTTTCTAATAAAATCATTTTTTTAAAAATAATTATTTTTTAAAAATCTATTTTTGAATTTATTGCTAAGTCAGGTGGATGTGAATTTAGAATTAACCTGGAGAATTAGTTCTTCACATTTACTTTGTGAGGCTATTATTAACATATTAATTAATTATTAATTATTATATAATTATATTAAATTGCTGCCCATGACCTGAAATCAGGTGAATCAATTTAATATTGAATGTGGTACAATCCTGACATGAGCATCATCCCAAAAATATTTTCATAAATTCAGACATATTAAATTGGTTAAGATTTAAGTAACATCTTATTAAATTATTATTGAACTTAAAATTAGAAGTTGCATCAATTTAACATCGATCTCATATAATCCTAACACGAGCATTATGTTAGGAATATTTAAGTAAATTAAAGTGTATTAAATAGATTAAGATTTATGATAGAGCCTTATTAAATTGTTGTTGGGCTCTAAAATCAAGAATCACATCGATTTAACATTAAATTCGATTATAATCCTGACATAATTATCATGCAAGGAATATAACTATAAAATAAAAACAAACTAAATCCATTAAAGTTTATTGTAGAATTTAGTTAAAATGCCATCAAACCCTAAAACAAGAATAAAATAAAATTTTGAAATATTAAACGCCAAATAATATTGCACGAAAAATGATGTAAAAGTCATTATGTATCCTAGAAATTTTGTTAACATAAATATAGAAGCTCTAATTTAAGGGTAAAACTCTTAATAAATTTTTTTTTATGCAAAAAATAAAATATATAGCATAAATTAAAGAAAATCTATATAAATACCACAACGTACTCAAAAAATTATGAAATTCGAAACTCAATTTAAAGACATTTATAGCATATTAAACATTCAGAAAAAAAAAATCACAACAAAAACTTGTATAAATTGCAAACGAACAGAACGCGTTTTATTTAAAAGACTGTCGATTTATTATGTGAAATAAGGGGTACAATCAAAGAAAGCTTTTACATTAAATCACTAAAATAAAATGACACAACAAGATTAGGGACTGCATTGAAATAAAATGGGACAACCGTGAAACAACATTACGTTTCTCCTGCCCAACTCTAACTCTCCTCCACCCTCCTCTTCCAACTAAAAACATAACCTGCAAATTCCTCTAAAACAGAATCCGACCGAGAAAAGGGTTGATTGATCAAGAAAACTAGGGGGACAACAGACAGGCCATGATTTCTACCTAGAAAACATAACTTGGAATCTATAGAAGCTGACCGAAATCTTCCCCTAATTCTATTGTCACGATTTTGTTGATCCTAAGACAGACAAAACCAACAGACAAACAATGACGCATATATGGAATAGGATGAAGGGTTGCTGGAGAATTTGAAAAGAAGAAATTAAGGCAACAATTGTGACACATGCAGAGGTGAAAGAATCTTGACACCTCAACACATCAGTAGAAAGAAAAACCCCCCGATTCATGTACGTACGTAGTACATCAAAAGGAAATAACACCAACTTATTCTTGAATTAGCTAAACCCAATCAGGACTTACTTCATATCACTTTCTTCTTCCTTTTTTTTTTTTTCTTTCCTTATAACACCAACTATATAATTCTGTTTCCTTTCTTTTATTTATTTATTATTTTTGACGAGTTTTCTTGAAATAAGGAACAAAAGTACCAGTATATTCTAAAAAATTATAAAACTATATAAAAATTACAGAAAATTATAGAAACTGGGCACTGTGTGCAATTTTTTGAATTTTTGATTTTGTTATTATTTTTCTCTTTTATGATTTATTTTAAAGATTTTTTTGTCAAAAAAAATTATAAAAATGGAGTCAAAATTGAATTATGATAATATTCTTCAACAATGCTTCCATTTAATTTAGGGTTCAAATCCTAAAATAAGTTACAAGATTTTTTTATTTTTTTTATTTTTTTTATTTTTGAAAATGCAATTTATTTCATATGAATTGCTTGCTTAAACCCCGATCGACTATAGAAGGGCCGGTTCAGTCCTATATGAAAAAATAAACCGATAATTTATAAATCTACTATTAAAATTAAATAATAATAATTAAAAACAAAATTCTCATTTGAGTACTAGTTATATTTGATTTCTTAACTCCATCTCTAAATTTGTTTGTTTAATTTGGGCTTCCTATAATAATTTAAACAAAACAATTTATGACCTTCATTGCTCCATTTTAATAATATTGTAGGGAGAAAAAAACTTAATTAATTGAGAATCGATTAATATTGTGTAAATTAATATTATGGTTGTTGATTAGGCTGACACGTTCAGTTGGAAGCAGCAAGAGGTCCGATATTAATAGTTTCGTTGCGTTGCAATAAATAAACCTGAAGACTGTTGTAGTGTGCAGGCGATAGATGCGTTCTTTGTTCTTATCTTGCAGTAGTTGTGCAGGCGATCGATGTCGTCATTGCAATGGTGAATCCTCTTTGGAGAATACCATTAATTGTACGTTGGACAGTACCAGTTAATTATATGAGCTCAAGTGGAAAACTCGTTCTCAAGACATTGAGAGGCTCAACTAATGGATATACGTACATGTAGACCCAATTAATATATAATACTGGGCATGTGATTGATTAAACATGGAATTTTATACATTTAAACCAAACAATTTTCGACAAAGATCATCATACATTTAATTCAGTAATTAATCAACGTCAATGAATCAAGAACAGTTGGTAAGAACATGGTCAAACAACAAGTTAATACAAGACATTCTGCTCAACAGAGACACATTTCCTGAAAGCCGCAGAGACATTTTGCCGAAATTAAGTCACAAATCCATTCATGGCTGTTCCAGCTCAAATTGTAGGAGGTATCTACAAGGAGATAATCACTGCAGTGGAAGATGGATAGAAAATAAATTTTAATAATTTTTTGTTAACTAGAATGAATTATTAAACTTCCATATTCATGTTAAGATGAGTTTCAATGCTAGCTCACCATAAAACGCTTTTTGTAATATTCCATAAGAAAGTCTAGATCGGTTTTTGTCTGCTTGTAAGCCTCAATCTTGTTCACCTCCTGCACATGGAAGGAAAAGTTACAGACTAAAACCATGAAATAATTTAGTTCACAAGCACAGCTGCCACTTTCTTGAATATTAGCTCAAAGATTGCTCGTAAGCTTAAGAAGAAGAGAGGAAGCCAAGACAGAAACCAGACTGATCTTAGCTCATGTGAGATGGAAGATCCACAAATCTAGGTTACAAGCAGAGAGGTTGATGCGGGAGCATCCTCCCTCCCATTTAGCTTAAATTTTGGCTCTCCATAGTGACCGAAACTTTCAACCCTCTATTTATCTATTTTGTTGTTTTTTATTCATTTATGTTGGATACTATATATTTGGATTCTTTTTAATTGTATGGACTCAAGCTAATTAATTAGTTTTCATGAGATTTTGAGTTTCCTACTCAAATTAGGACATGGCCGAATGTAACCCAGCTGGGTGATTGATCCTTCAATGTTATGGATCCTTATTTGTTTGTGAAACCTTATTTATTTATGAGTTCATATAATATGTGAATCCATATTTAATTGGATTGAATAAAACAAGTCCTAATTGAATATGGATGACATAAGTTCAAATTTAGTTAGAAAAGGAATTTTATTTAGGAAAATAGTTATAATCAACCGAGGAAGAGAAGACTCATCCCTAGCTGATTTTTAGGGCCTTTGTGTGATTATTTAAGCACACTTTGTGATTATTTTTCATTAAATTTTGATTAAAAATTTGAATGACAATTGTGTGTTTTCTATGCAACTTCTTGGATATCTCCTTTGCATGAATTGGCTAAGATGTGATCGACTAAGATGAACTTAGATCAACAATTGTGTTAGGTGGACTATTAGCAAATATATCTTGTAATTACTCTCTAAATCAATTTGGATGGAGGATTCTTCTTAGGGATGAGGCATTGGGGTTTGCTTTTATTTTTGTATTTGCTTGACAAATTGCTGGTTAATCTGAATTCCAAGACTGAACAGATTCAGTTTCAAAACCAATAGCTAAGATTAGGGATTTTAGTTTGATCTAAAATTTTAACAGTAGTTAATTAAGAGGTTGATTTAGCTTACGTTAAAAAATCAAAAACTTTTAAAAATATTTGAGTGGGTTTTGGAGGTGTCAAAATTATTGTAGATTCTAGAATCCATTTTATCCAGAATTTTGACTTATTAGAAAAATGGGTTACAAGGCTTAAATTGATCTAAAATTTGACAGACAGATACTAATGGACATTATCTAGGTTGTGGTAACGTTTTAATTAATTTTGAGTTGATTTGGTTGGGAATCGCACCTACCCTAGTTACGGGTATCATGTTTGGTTGTTTAGAGTGCGTGTGATTTTGTTTGTGTTTATGTTGAGGATCTTGTTGATTTTGATTTGGGTCTTTCAATTATGTGTGTTTAAGGGTTATTTGGGATGTAATTGAGGCTGGTTACAGCTAGTTAGGGTGTTGCGACCTAGGACTAATTGTTTGTTGCTTGTGTGTTTGTGTTTTCTTTGGGCTTGATATCTCTTGATCTGACTTCAGAGGTGTCTTTGAACCAAAAATACAGAAAGGGTTATGCTTTTGAACCACTAGAAGGAAAGGATTCAAGAATTCAGCTTATAACTCGGTGTACTCATTTGATTGGGAAAAGGAAAACAAAAGTAGAGGATTGCTAAGTCAATGACGGGAAGACATTAGCTTCGCATAAACGAAAAGTGAATTTCCATAGTACCTCAATCCAAGCTGCAAATTTAGGTCTGCCTGCAGTGATATCATACTTGAACTCTTCTGACAAGAAGAAGCCGAATCTTTCGACGAATGGAATATAGGCTATGTCCACCTAAAGAACACATGATTTATCGATCTATCAAACTGAAATCATTCAAATTCATTTATAAAGAAAATAGATTAACCATAGCGTATATTTCAAAATTGAAAAATTAGATTGCATCTGTAATGTGCTATATATTTACAGGGAAAAAAATGAACAAATGAAATGGATTTCGGTGCTAATAATATTAACTGAAAACTCAACATACCAAACTGAATTGTTGCCCGAGGAAGAACGGCCCGTCACCAAATCTATGAAGAGCATTTTCCAAGGAATCAAAAGCAGGAGCTGGTACAAGGTACTAGTTTCAGTCACCTCACTTTCGGTACAAAATGCCATCCGTAGAAACCTATCAAGTTCCAAACTTACCAGCTTCCTTCACCGGGTCTCCCTTGAATGAGGAACATACTATTTGGATGAATTCATCAGTGTAGGATAGCAAACCTTCAGCAAACTCTCTTTCAGCAAGGTCCTTCAGTACTTATGTTGTTAATTTAGCCCAAGTACAGAGAAAACGTGCGTGACTGAGGCTTTTCATTAAAAAAACAACAGTGTCATGTGGATCTTACCTCCGGAAGAAGAGAAGGGCCTTCAAAGTTGCTTTCTAAATATTTAATCAAATCAAGACTCTCCCCTATTATTTTGCCATTGTGTTCCAAAGATGGTACCTACAAACAAGGAGGATTTCGTAATCAGCCAAGAAAAGGAAAACAATGCATTGGTTAGAACAACGATGGACGTATGCACTTGACATAACTAGATATTGCATTAGATTACCATCTGAAGTTTAGTTTATCAATAGATTGCAAGAAAATTCCAGGAATAAGCAGAAAAAGATTGGTATTAGTTGATCAATTATAACTAATAAAAATAAATTAACACCAAATCCTACAAAGGGGATTCTATAAAATATACACTAAAATGATCGAAGCTTTGATTTGTTTATCAACTAGAATGCATCCGTGAGATGAATTACATAGTATTTTCATGTTTTTAACCATATAAAATAAAGAGTTCTAACAATCCATGTAATAGTAGTAATAAAACGGTTTAAAACATTAAAAAATAGATTATTTAACTTTTAAATAAATTTGCTTTATAAGAACGAAAAATTAAATGTATTAGATTGATTTTTTATCATAAAAAAGCAAAAAAAAAAAAACAAAATGATGAAAGGAATAAAAAGCATGTCTTCCAATAATTTTTTTGTATATTGGAGTAAATTCCTTTTATTAGAGGAAATTATTACACAAATTCTAATTTTTTAGATCAAAGAAAGAAATGTTTGCTAATTTACTCCAATAATGTAAGGACATTCTAATTATTATACAAATTCACAAGACAGAAAAGAATTATTTAAATTTATCCAATAATGTATTAAAATAAAATCAAAGAGGTTGTTTTCAATAATTCAACAAATTATTTTAAGAAAAATTAAAATGCAACAATAAAAATGAGTATAATAAGAATAATTTTAAAATTTGAAGGACCAAAATAAAAACATAATATAAAGATCGAAAAAAAAACATTTACAGTATACATTGATAAAAATCACACATGACAAAACTCTAACGACCAAAATAGAAATAAGATCACAAAAAAATGACGAAAATTAAAAAAAAAATCACAAAAAGCCAAAAAAAAAAAAAAATTAACTATAGTCAAACTACATTTAATTTTTGTTTATTTAGAAAAAAAATACACAAAACAGTATCAATAATGGAAAGTTAATCAAGCATTGCAAGTCAAATAAGCTACTATAGTTTTTCCTGTAAAAACTGAAATGTGTGGCAGTAATTGAAACAAAAAATAAATAAACTTCATTAATTCTTCAGCTGGTAGATCAAATAATATTAAATTCATATATGAAAAAAAGTCACCTTATTTTGGGGATAAACTTTCTCTGCATACCAAGCAGGCCTATTTTGAGTGGGTAGAGCAATTGGAACTAGCTTAATCTGGCTTTGTAATCCCTGCACCCCTCAATTAATTCATAAATTGACCAATAAAGAAAATTTAAGAGGACGAAATAACAGATAGAGAGTTAATATCTAAGCGACCTTAAAGTTTCTGGTGATCCACACTCGCTGTGCAAATGGACACACATAGCTGGTATAAAACCTTCAACCAGAAAAGAATATATATAATTACAAACAAATATATTGTTGAATTCTTTAGTTTTCCTTTTGGTTTTAGTCACATCATCTGTACCCAAACTGGTGTACTGCAAATTTCTTTCCTTTTCATGCATTCAAACCCAAGAAAATAACAATAACTTAGTCCATAAGATGATTTTATAATTGAAATGATATCTCTTTTTTCATGGATTCTCTCGTATGAGAGAGAGAGAGAGAGAGTAAAGGACAATAAAAGAAAACAAAAACCTAGTGGTTCCATCGAAGAGTGAAGGTTGCTCTGCAGAAGCATCCAATGTTGGAGGCAATTTCTCTGGCACACTCTTATCCAAGCATGAAATCCTCCAAATTAAGAAAGAAACAAAGAAAAGAAAGTGAAACTATCAGTACGTAGAAAAAACACAGACTTGAAAGTGAAGAATCAAAGAGAGAGAGGTAGAGATTCTTACGCAGAAGCAGCAGCCATTACTAGTGGTGGTGGTAGTTTGTTGTGCCTCTGTAGGGTTCTGTAGGATTTTTGTAAATGCAAGCGTGAAGGTGAAGGACTGAATTGGGTCCAAATGCAAAATGGGGTGTGTTTATGTACAACGAGCTCTTTCATTCTTGAACAGTATTGAAGTAATCTTTACAAAGATGGATGAAATGTATAGATCATAAAATGAGCTAAAGGTTAGGATCCACCATTAAAGCCTGTTCCTGTCAAACTGATCGAGTCTCCAGACATAACAATGTGTACGGACGAAACATTGCCACGAGTGAGGAGGAGATGTAGTTAATTATCCGTTTATATTCGACAAGGCAGTTGCTGAAAATGAGTGAATAGTTGTATTTTGAAGTCTTTTATGAGCAACAATTATCCGTACCAAAGAATAGAAGAGAGACTACTATAAAAAAGAAAAAAAAAGTAAATTAATTACATAAACACTCTCTAATTTGAATGCGATAACATTTTATATTAGATTTTTTTATAAATTATACTTTACATTTTAAATATTTGAATGTTATTTTAAGAAACATCATACATTTAGATTTCGTTAAGAAAAATAAGTTTTCGATAAAAAAAATATGTTCAGATTATTACAAATTTGATATTGAACTTTTATATTAATTGAGAAGAATTGTCTAGTTATATAATAGTATGCAAAAACAAAACAATAGAACCAATTTTTTCAAAAACAAACCTACCCAACAAATAGTATCCTTTACAAAACCAAAATCACTAAAAAACAACGATAACCAAATAAAACTATATGATTAATTTTTTTTCATTTTCAATATGTCATTCATTAGTGTATCAAAATTCTTTTTGGAAATTATTAGTTTTTAACTCGTATTATACCGTAAATCAAACAAAACATATAAAATTATTTTAAAAAATAATTTTAATTTGATGGCACTATAAAAACAAAAAACAATCATCCAATGTCGGTTTAAAATGCAAATGTGTAGTTTGTTGTGCCTCTGTAGGTTTACGTAAGCTTTTCGTAAATGCAAGTGTGAAGATGTCGAGTCTGAATTGGGTCCAAATGCGGAATGGGGTGTGTTTATATACAACAAGCTATTTCCATTCTTGAGCGGTTTGTTGTGCCTCTTCTCTATATGCTTTCATTTTTTAATGTTGATCATTTAAAATTTTGGTGATTCAAAAAAAAAAAATATTTTTCTAAATGTTGAAAAAAATTCAAATTTTAAAAATAAAATAAGTGAACAACCTTCTTTCATCATATAAAGTATCTTTTGGAGGGATAATGTTAAACAACTTCAATTATAATCGTTAGTCCTCCGAGTGAGGCCCTCATACCTTCAATTGTAATCGTCAATAAGCTATCAAGATAAAACTACTTTCCTTAAATGGTTAAATCCCGATAAATCCGACTAATTTTTGTCTTGGTCTATCAAAGGAAAATGATCATCACAATTCACATTGAAGATTCCCTCATACTCATCATTTTATGCTCAATTATTTGGATATTATATATATACACAAGTATTTATAACTTTCTTGTAATCTTTCTTGGAGTTTAAATTAAAAAAAAAAAAAAAAAACATTATGAACATACTAATTTATCAACTAAACTAAGTTTGAAACATAATTAATCGAGTTTTCTACTTGACGATTAGGAAAATTATATATATAAAAACAGACTACGATTTAGGTGAATCGTCTATCTTTTTCTACAACAAAACAAAAATTATGAAAATCATATATATATATATATATTTCATTCTTATTAAAAATGTAAAAATAAAAATAAAAAATGAAAATAAAATTATTATTTTCGATATGAGACGGTCAAAGAAACTTGTGCTTAATTACCCCTCCCGATGAAACTCTCTAGTCCATTCATTTGCGTAGCTTTAAACTAAAAATAAATCAAACATGCTATCATCTGGTCGTTAAACTCAAACCAAAACTACAATCCAAAAACGATGCGTGATACCTTTTAGAAATGAATCTGTTTTTTTTTTTTTTAAATTAATATTGTCGCAGGCAACAATCAAACAACAACAAACAATGTTGTGCAGGGTCACCTAATAGGGCTAATAGCATTCGTTATTCGGAGAAAAATACTCTTTTTAACTCTTTATTAGAGCTAGCTAGTATAATAATAAGAAATAATGCTAGTGTTGAGTCTCCACTCCCTAAAATTATCCTTTTCTTTTACTAGCTAGAATAAGCCACGAATATGCATCCGATTGCTTTCTTTTCAAACTTTCAGCGTAAATGGTCGGGTACAAAGATATAAGATAGGCGGACGGTGGCTCACGTGATCAACCTTCGGTCGAGGCTAGGCGGCATCTCTTCCTTTCGCTTTGCCTCGAGGGCCCCGTGGGCACGGCTGAACAAGGCTTGTATTCGGATACTCTACTTCAAAAAGGGGTTGAAGAAAGCCGGATCATAAATAAATAAGAAACTAATCTTCAAGTATTACAAGTTCGGATATTCAAGAAATATTACACGTTACGTTCTCTTATAGACACACGAGTCATTTAAATCTAGAAAGTCATTCAAATCTCATTCGTATTATTATGGTTTATTTCGTTCTCTTATAGATACGGAGAGTCATTACGGTCTCATTCATATTATCATGGTTTATTTCGGACGAGCCGAGTTAATAGGGCAAACTAAATGAATTTCGCATTATGAATTTTGTACTCGCAAGCATTCCTTTGATGAGCTATATAAATAAAATCAATGAAGAAATATAATACGAAAGTAAAGATAAAGAAATTGAACATCGGATTCTATTTTTACTGTAATTGAGATGAATCTTATGTATTAATTACCATGCACCTTTCAACTTTTCTAGACTAAACTTTTTTTAAAAAAGTCTTTTATCTAATTCATTTATCCTTTTAAATCTATATGAATTATTATTTTTTGACACGGAAGACACGCATTATGGATAAGAGAGAGAGAGAGGGGGGAAGGAAAGATAAAGCATAATCGAAATGAATATCGTCCATCCGGAAAGACGGACTATAAGATTATTAAGCATTTGACCATAAAGATGCAATGAGATTAATGTATGCTTGATGTGACTAGGTGCTTCGATCGGGAAAAACCAAAGAGAAAGATGGAAAGTCAAAGGACATTTAATACACTACAAATGTGCATTGGATAACAAAAAGTGAAGTATAAAACATTTATATATTTGCCGACTTCAAATTCGACATGCATGTGGGGGTTGCGGTACAAAAACAACGTTAAAGAACTAAAGAAACATAGAAAAGTATCTTTGTTTAATAATGATCCATCATTGCTAAGTAAAACCAAATTAAATTATGAAAGCATAATTCGAGTAATTACATTACGGACAAACCCGTAATGTATATAAAAAAGGATATATGTTATATAAACACTTTCGTCGACTTTAAAAATTAGAAATTTTGTAAACCACTTTAAAAACTCTATATTTTTTAAGAGTTTTGATCATGATTATATAAATATAAATTTAATTCAAACATTTTATGTGTTATCCAACCCGACTTATTTGGGTGTGATCCCTTAACTCAATACATGGTGAGCTAGCTTAACTTGGGTCATCACCGCATCGTCTAATTCCATATGATAATTATCAAATATGAGCCTTGGGCCTTCATCTCGGAATCGGTCACTCTAGCATCAAATGACAAACTCTATTGGGTTATCCCCACCATCTATGGAGTCCACACCTTCATCCATCAACACTAACCGGACCGTTTTTCCTACTAGTAAGTCCACCGATGCAACTACTAAACACATAAGACAAGTTTCCAAGAAACTCTAGGTACAATTACTTTTTGTCGTCGTCCCTTTTCCTACTTTCCTCTATTTTGCACTCCTCGCCTCTAGTAATGACAATTTGCTCCTCTCTGTTAGAGCTAGTAATGGCAATTTGCCTCGCCTCGTGTCAATTTTCCCCGATCAACATGGGGATTCTTCGCATTGATCAAGGAATGGGGCGGGGTGGGGCTCATCATGAGCGGGGACGGGGCGGGGATGGGATTTGCTCGTCCCGCCCCGTTTGCCCCATTTCTTTTTTTCATTAAAATTATAATTATATCTCATATAAAATCTATAATTAGTAACTTTTAGGGTTTATTTTCGATATAAATTATCATTTTTTTATAATTTCAAATTTGATAATAAAATTAGATAAAATGAGACAAAAATAAAAAAAAATAATTTTTGCTCCATTTACGCCTCGTTTGGGGTGGGGAAATTTTGCCCATTTCGGGGCACGGGGCGGGGATGAGGAAAACTTTTTAGGGGCGTGGCGGGGACGGGGATCCCCTTTCGGGGCACGGGGTGGGGATGGGGAAAATTTTTAGGCGCCCCAACCCAATCAACGTGATTTTTACTTCATCCCTAAAATTACAATTATACCTTACACAAAATCTATGATTATTGACTTTTAAGGTTTATTTTCTATATGAACTATCATTTTTTTACTATAGTTTGAAATTTAGTAATGGAATGGGACGAACGGGTTGAAAACGAAAAATTAAATGGGGCTTCGGTACTCACGGGGATCCCCATCCTCGTTTGAGGGCGGGGATCATATGAGAAATATTGCCTTGTGCGAGGCATGGAACGAAGACGGGGAAAATTTTTCGGGGACGGGGTGGGGGTGGGAATGGCCTTATTGCCATTCCTACTCGCCTCATTTAACCAACTCGATGGTATGTCTTTTTTTTTCTCACAATATTTCTTACTTCAATTTTTGTTAGAACTCATATTGCTTTTCTAGTAGTCATCTCTTCTATCTATAGGCCCACATCCTTTTACAAGCGGTGAAACGGGATCATTGACGGAATGTCATGGCTAAGGCGTTCTTTGCTTTAGAGGCCGATCATACTTAGACACTTATACCTTCATTACTTAAAAAATGTCTATACAAAATCAAATTCAACTTAAACAATACCATGGAAAGATACAAAGTGTTGCTTGTGTCTAAGAGATACACTCAAATTGAAGATATTGATTTTTATGAGACATTTGCTTCGATAGCCAAATTGGTCACCGTCAATATCTCCTTGCTATTGCTTCAATATGCAATTGAAAGCTTCACTAGTTAGATGTCAACAACGTTTTTTTACATATCAATCTTAAAGATAAAGTCTATATCAAAATTTCTCAAAGCTTCGCCAAACAAGAAGAGCATCGTGTTTGCCTTCTTTAAAAATCTCTCTATGGACTCGACATTTTCTCATAACTAGTATAAAAAATTCAATCGATCCCTACTTTCGGTTGGTTTTATTCAATCTTTCTCCGATAATTTTTATTCACCTTTACTAAAAGAAGATCTTCTATTGTTGTTCTCATTTAGTCGACTACTTTATTTCACGATCACAAGTCCATATATTACCCACCCGAGTACACATTCTAAGTCAATTTAGGCTTAAGCCAAGATAACCACATTTTGATGCTACATTACAAATTCTTCAATATCTCATAAATGCATCTAGACAAAGCATTTTGCTCCCCTTTAATAGTTGATGCACATTTTGATTCTACATTACAAGTTCTTACGGATATATTATAATGCGGATTGGGTTGGGTGTCTTATGACTCGAAGATCAATAATCGGCTATATAGTATTTTGAGATTCTCACCCATTTCATGAAACTCAAAGAAATAATTTGTAGTTTCTCTTTCCACAACGAAGGTATAAACCAAGGTAAAGTATAGGGCGGTGGCCACTATTATAAATAAAGTTATTTTGCTTCTTCAATTGCTTTTAGATTTGAAAATATCTCACCTAAATCTAGATCTAGTTCTTTAGTTTTGTGAGATCTAGTTACGCTCAACAAATTGCAACCAATCTTGTTTTTCAACGAGTATACCAAACATGTCGAAGCATACTCGTCATTTCATTCGACAACGTATTCAATCTAAACTCTTACCGACTCAACTAATTTCATCTCCACGTCATCTAACTAGCAAATATATTCATTAAAGCACTTGATCAAGAACAGTTCGAAGCCTTATTGGGCAAGTTGGACATTTTCAATCCCCATGTTTTTTTTATTAATTGTGGGAGTGATTATGTAGGAGTGATTGTAAGGAGAGATTATGATCTTTCATTAACTATGAGAGTGATTACATGAAGTGATTGTCGAGGTGATTAGGATTTTCCATTAACCGTAGAAGTGATTACATAAGAAAGACTCTATGAGGGATTAATTAGAAAAAAATTTTAACTGTAGGAGTAATTGTAGTGGGAGCGATTGCCTCACATAATCCGTATATGAAAGTACTTGTTATTCAACGATACATACAAACAAAATATAATTAATAATTTTCATTATTTGTACTACTTCCTGTAATTTCTTGAAAGAGGGAGAGTTCCAAAGCTTGTTTCTTGTGACTTGTGAGGAAAGGAAACGAGAGAATGGAGTGTGCTTGCTACATATATATGTAAGATTGCGGGGATAGAATAGTAAGCAAGGATAGAATAGTAACACATAACTTTTCTTCTTTCTTTTTCATTCTGTCGGGAGGTGTCGGGATTTAGTGTGCGAAAGAATGAAAGGTGTCGCCGTTCTTGTTCCATGTGTTTGTCAAATATAGTAACGCGTGACTAAATCCTTTTTCCATGCACTTGTCAATTTAGAGTTCTAGTATTTTGTGTTTTGTTTTCCGAGAGAGGCTTTTGGATGATTGCTTGGTAACACGTTGAGAACTCGTTTTTAACTTTTCAAAACCCCTTTATTTTATTTTATTTTATTGGTTCATTTGGAGGTCCATCAAGGTTTCGTTACGCCATGGTCAATGGTTCAATTTTTAGTACCAAAATTACTAATTTTCTAAATCGCTCCGACAGACGCCCCGCCCTCGAAATAACATTTTCTTATGACAAAGCTAACAATATTCTCAAGCCGATCCCTCCCTAGTTTGGCATTCATTCCATCTTTGATGTGTAAGATGGCAATTTGTCCGTCCCGAAACCCTGCCGTACCTCGATCAATTCGGAGATTCTCCACGTTGATCAAAAATGAAGCATGGCGGAGCACTCCGTATTTATTTTAAACCGAGATGAAGCAAGGATGGTATTTGTCCGTCTCGCTCCGTTTATCCCATTTCATCCCTAAAATTATAATTATATCCTATATAAAATCTGTGATTACCGACTCTTAGGATTTATTTTCTATATGAACTATCATTTTTTAGCTATAGTTTGAAATTTGATAGTAGAATAGGACAAAACGAAACTGAAAAAAAAAAAAAAAAAATCAAATGAGGGCATTAGTGTCCTGTTAAAATCCCCATCTTCGTTTGGGAAAGAATTGGAATGATAAAATTGCCCCGCGCAAGACATGGGGCAAGGATGGGATAAAATTTTCAAGAGCAGAGCAAAAATGGCCATCCCCGCCCCCATCCAGCCCCATCGCCATTCCTATTGATGCTTTAATCTTAGGGAAAACCCAACAATGTTCTCGTCTGAATTGCTGGCAGGTTGCCTTTAACTGGTCCCATGACTATATATAAACAAGGTACACATATCTAAACAACGGAAACAAGTTCTAGTGCATATCAAAGTCTGCAGCCCATACGTATCTTTATAGGGTTCATATACCTAGAACTAGTGTCAAGACCCGAGCACACTGAATATTTTGATCGGTCATTTCCTCTCCAAATAACCCAGCTTGATGGGCTTGTCTGTTACGTGTCTGAAAGCCTATCCCTGATTTTAAAAGCAGCACATGCCCCTGGCACATAATTAATCGCATAGGTAAGTTGAAAGAAACGAGGGGGCGTCAATGTCGATGATAACCCTCATGGAAGGATGCAACTTGCTCCTTTATACCTTGTCCTGTTGTTATGCAAATCAAGATCATGTAATATGGCAAGCATTCTCCATACTAAAATAGAAAGAGAATATAGTTGCTACCAGCAACGTGAGATATAGATCATGTAACAGGACATATATCAATAGTAGTAAAAGCATCGCAACCAGGGTTTCAGACTTAACCAAGGTCCATTATCTCTTTCTTAGACAAGGGAGCTCGTGCAATAAAAGCTTAAGATACAATATTTCAAGAGTTGTAAAACAACAACAAAGAGAAGAAAACTGGATCGGGAGGATATAATAATTACACGAGAAAATGTATAGGTGTGCTTGATGACAGCATTAATGCACGGTGGTTTGGAGATCGTGATTTCTAACTCAGTTGTTCATTCATTTGCTTTTCCTTCTGTCATCCTCCATTGTTCCACATCATCTGTTGCCTGGAAAGATATAGGCATAGCATCATAAATTTCGACTTGTAATTATTAAGATGTTATTCTGTCAAGGATAAATAATCAGCTAGCTGCATTTCTTAAGTTTTAGAAAAGCCATATAATGCACAGAGAGCCAACAAACTCAAGTCATTACACAGGAAAAACTTAGTTATAATGTGGAATGGATAAAACAGCTTCTATCTTAGGCAAGGAGAATTGCTATTTGCACAAGAGTTGCACATATAATTTCTGAGATTTCAAAAATAATCCATTAGTACATACGATGAGACTCCCCCTAACAAATTCCCATTTGGAGCAGTTTCTTACTAAGGCTCATGCATCTTGTATTCTTACTGTTTTAAAGCGAACAAGACAAGAAAAAAATAAAATGTAAACAATTTTACCACTTGTGTTGTAGCAAAGAACATCTGGATTCAATTCTCCAATTGTTTTCTTAACTGTCAGACTTCTTCATTAGACTCAATATGACGCCTGCCCCAAGACTTGTTGCTACAACCCCAAGGGAGGCCTCTGTTGATATGTGAAAGCCTGCATTAAGAGTTGAAATCTTGAGTCTGAGTTTGCTGAACTGAGAATTTAACAGAAAGAAGAAACATTAAAGGGCTAGAAGATCCCACCCATAAAATCTAGGATCATTTTGCATCCAATAAAGCCTAGAACGATAGCAATCGAAGGCTGAGGAGCACAAACACAAGAAAAAAGAATGATCCTGTCAGTATAGAATATAGATTCATACTCTTCAACATAAAGTGACAACAATAATTGGACAAAGTAACAGCAAGTTAGTTTATGAACAGCATGGAGGAGGTATTATCCCCTCATTCCGCAGATATTGCACAGATAAAACCTTGCTTAAACCAGAATTGGAATTTTCCCTACAGTTTGATGTGTCTGTGTAAGTAAGAAATCTTTATGTGCATTGTGTGCATAAATGATTCGAGTACATGGAGAATTGCAAGTGACATGTGGTTGATAGAATTTGATTGCAGAGAAGGTTCTCTCACGTGCTTTCCTATCTTGCCCTGATCTCTCACTTGGGCAATTACATTTGGCCACCTAGGAAATTTTGATATTTGAGGTTGTTTGTCCTTGACAGAACATCATAACATACAAGTTACTCATATTTCCTCCAAACTACAGCATCCCAAGCATGAACAGCTTTCATCTAATTGAAATATTTAATGTGACAACCTAGATTGTGCGTTAACTGTTCTAGCTTGGAACAAACATCATAAACGATAAAATGAAGGAAATGGGCCAAAACTAAAATAACTAAAAAAGCATGAAAAATGGTACATCATAAACAGAAATCAATAATTCAGGTAAATAATTAAATCTTTTACCTGTAAATAATCCAACTCTGCCATACCCTCAGAAATTAGTGTGTAAAAAGACCTCAGACCTACATTAGACAGGAATGTAGGCAATCAGCCTCTAATGGAGTCTTCTCTTTTTTACTTCAGAAGTATTGCATAATTAGTACAAACACATTTGTTGTTCAATTATAATGTAGCTCATTTGTGGAAGAACCAAGCTATAAGACAACACCTGTTAAAAACTTGAAGATGAAAAAACAAATGTATGTTGAAATATAGTGTATCAGAGGCAGAAAAGCTACGTGGTACTGATAGACTAAAAACCTTGAATTTCTCATTGAATTTCTTATTGAAGCTTTGCTCGCCAAGTATCAAGTGGCATGGTACACATACACAAAGAGATTTTCTACTTTCTTTCACCCTTTTCTCTTTCTCTTTCTTCTTCTTTTTTTCCATGTGCATGTGGACTAAGCAAAAAAAAGGGAAAATAGAGAAGCGCATCCAACTTCTAAATACTATGTTTTTATCCATTTCTCAAACAACGGTGGATTTCAGATATATCAGCACTTGTAAGCCTAAGATTTATTAATTTAAATAAATAATTACCTAAAATGGCAAAGAGATTAGAAGTAAAAACTATGAAAGGATCCCGCGTAACCCCAAAAACAGCTGGTATGGAGTCAACCTAAGAAACATGAACAATGTGTGAACATTCTATTGACAACATCAATCGCAAATTCATTCATATTTACATACATGATAAATGTGCATATATATACAATTATGTTCCTGTGTGTGCATGTGAGTCACAGGGATGAAGAAAAAGAGAACCTACAGCAAATGCTATATCACTGAGCTCAATAACTGCTACTGTGAGAAGTAAAGGTGTAGCCTGCCCAAAATGGTTGATGCCTGTTAGAAATAAAGTACTTAGTACAATTTGTAATGTATAAATGCCTGTGTGCTAAATTTATCGTGTGATAGTATTTTGCAATTGCTAGAGTAACTATTTGGACCATTAACATGTCATGAATGACTTACTTTCCACAAACCATCCTGACGTGTTATGAATCGGTTCCCATCATAATTAGCTGCAACATTAAGGACAAAAAAATAAGAAAAAAAATCAAAACCCAGGACAGAAATGTCAAATAGATAAATCAGGTCAAAGTTTGTGACTCAATATATTTCGACCATAGAGTTTTTCTTTGTCTGTTTGTCGGAAGGCTAACTCAATATGTCAACTTAAAGGACATTGATTAAGCAATATACTTTTTTTGATACAGAGAGAGAAAGAGAGCAAGATAGATGGGGAGGGTCAGTTTCCTACATATTTTGACCCTTCAATTTTACTCTGGTTTGGTTCTTCAATCAACCAAAAAAAAAAATGCCATTTTGAAATGTTACCAAATGACAGGTGTCATTCTCGTATTTTATTTGCAAGGACCCATAGCCACTTTCATCAGCATTAGACCAATCGATCTATTTCCAGCCACAGTGGAGTACCTGGAAATCTGAAGTTCTTAATTTTTTATTTTGACCTTGAATCTAGTTTTCCTCATATTTTGGGGTTTAATTTGTTCAATGGAGTTTGTTTAATAATTTCAAGGCTCAAAAACAAACTTTAAAGAAAGTATATATTGTACAGCAGGACATTACAAGTGACAGGGATAAATCTCTGGCATGTCTTCACTATAAAGTTGTCCGATAGGTCACTGTCATCCTCTTCAGTGGTAAATAGCTACAGTTACACAAGGAAAGCAATAAGTCTCCATTTAATTTAAGCAATGGGAATAAGCATGAAGGACCACGTGATGAAAGGTAGAATAAAATTGTTAAGTGAAATAAACTGTCACAAAATGACAGATTCAACGACCAAAAAATGAAATATGCAATGCATATGAAGGTGGTTTCCAGGCTCAAGGAGAGACCTGGTAAGTGAATAGTTAGCATATTCCTTTTCTTTATAGTCCGTCTTGATAAGTAATTAAAGAAATGGAAGACATGATTCATTAGTAATTTCTATGTCCTTGGAGAAAAGATATGTCACCTTGAAAGATGAGTACAGGAGTATTGTAGCCAGGAATAGGTTGACTGCCTCAAACCTCTAAAACATCAAAACAGCAAAATCAGAAAAGAGCTTTCAGAAGGAGAAAAACACAAAAATTTGCCTCTCAACCAGGGATATACCTGGAGAGTGGCTGTTCCAAGAAGTATCAATGACAAACGGAAGATGATTGCGCCAGCAATTCCATATGAAAGCACCCGATTCTATACTTCGAACACATCAAACTTTCCGTTATTGCAGGTGAAATGGAATGTATAGTGGTGAAATGGATAAAAATATTCAAGAATATTACATTGAGAGACCAAGACAGTACATTGTATGATCATAATGTTCATTTCCTATATAAAAAGTCATTGAATTACCTGATACATGAGTGGCACTTTAAAATACTTGAAAACCAGAACAAAGACAAATAGATTGTCCACCGACAAACTTTGCTCCAAAATATACCTGAAAACGATCCATGATATTCATTATGGTGGATATCACTCAAGCTCAATGGTACAAACCACCAAGTGCAAGACAAGATGTCAGACAAAGAAGTCAAAGAAAATAGCTGATTAGGAAAATACTTAACAGAAACAATTCTAGAAATTAATGCTTAAAATTGAAAATATATGTAGTAGAAAAATGCTTATTAAAGCAACAGCCCTGAACTAGCTACTTTCACCAAGCACATCTTTTTGGGAGCTACACACCATATCCCTATCAATTCTTCATTGGCATGAATACATATTATTAAAGAGGATTCCATGAAAGCCAAAATACAGACCAAAGGTCAGCACACTGCGTGTATGTCTCCTTTCTAGGAAAATAATAACACATGTTCCCAAGTCATTGTAAACATCCATACTCACACAATCTCATTTTCCTTCATTCTTAGATTTTAGCTCCCCCCTTTTTTTTTTCATGTAGGTCCTAAATCTTAACATGATGTAAAGTGTAAACAGATTTCTGTGAAAATGAACAAATCTCTCTGTGCCGAAGAAAACATAGACATGCAGAAGTTCAACACAGAAAAAATTAATTTTTCACAGCACAAAATTCTGCATACCCGGCAAAAAACTCAGTTGCCTTGCCAACACCATCTTTGAAACCAATACCAATGCCAAAAGCCACAGCTGTGCACACCTACAAGAATCATTGACTACATTTATTTTAAGCTAGACAATGACAGAACCAACAGATCAACATGCACAAAATCCTAAAAATCACTTACGCATAAAGCTACAGTTTTAATCGATGTAGTATAATTTCCATGATTTCCTTTAATTTTCTCCTCTGATTTGTCCACAGAAGGGGGAGAATTAGAGGTACTAAACTTGCCAACATCCCCGCGTGTCTGAGAACTCGTCCTCTCAGCTTCTGCAGATTAACAGGCATGTTAGAGAAAGAAACAAACAAATTTACATAAACAAAGCTGTATTTTTTTTCCTTTTTTCGTACTACAACCTGGAGGGGATAAACCATCCTCCTGTTCGGTGCCTCTTGTACATGAAATTGGAAAGTTTTGGCGACGGTGATTGCTAATAACTGCAAATCAACTTTAAACAACAATTAAAAACCTATTTTACGGAACTGTGAAAAAAAAAAAAAAAAGAGAGGAGAGAGGGGACAAAATGGACCTGAATTGAAAGAATGGAAGTGAGGATGAGAGAATTGAACCCTAGAAGTGTACTTAATTGACGAAACCTTGAGAGAGACTGGGTCGAATTTTATTGGAGCTTGAATGATGCTATTATTGTGAATTACTGAAGTTAATCTCATTGTGGTTTTTAGGTTTTTCTTTTTTTTTTTTAGTTGGAATTTCAAATGAGAAAGAAAGAAGGAAGCGACGGAATTGTTCCTTATCCTCAAGAGAGAGATGGTTTGGTTTATTTACAGTCACAGTCTACACTGCTGGTTATGCGGTCCAGCAGCTCCAGGTACCACCCCCTGTGTCGGATTCCGTAACAAACAGAGAGATATGATATGTGCTGCCCACAAGCACACGTTTGGGTAAATTTCACTTTTGCTCTCATAGATTCGTCAATGTTTAGCTTTACCCCTATAGTTTAAAATTTTTCAATGTTACCCTCATAGTTTCCCCAAAAAACTCCAAAGTTAGTACGCTACTACCGAAAAGTAAACAAAAAGAGATATCATATTGTAAATAATATGAGCCAATCGGTCTATGCTCCTGAAGGACAATTTGATTATTTGAGTAACTAGAAAATTAGTTCCAGCCGGGCGCGCATGGGACCTCCAACTTGCAAATCATTTCAGCCATAAAATCAAGAACCAAACCATTTAAAAAGACTTGAGCTAATTAATATGGAAACTAATTCCTCGTGATGCGAAGTAATAAGGTGATCAGGTATACCTATAGGCAAGGTATACCATTATGTTTTTTTTTCTTTTAACTAGCATGCATGTGTCTTGAACAGTTTCTGTGCTTACAGTTTGACATTAAATAAGTTATAGTATTTTCTAATTCCTAAAAAATAATTAAACAATCATTTAAATGAACAAAATAGTAATTAATTTTAAAACTTCTAATTATAAAATCAATTAGTTAAACAAACATTATTTAAAGTTTGCTTTTTATTGGCCACTCGATTACTATCTAAAATTTTTTATTGATAATGCCAAGATCTTTTGTAAGTACATACATAAAATCATCTTTAGTTATCTCCATTCTCACTTTCAGCAATAACCTACACTATAAGAAACATCTAATCATTAGAATCCTTCCTTACTCGTAATTAGTAAACATCCTCACAAAAGTATTTTCAAAAAAGCACCATCAATACCAAATACTTTCTTATAATTTCCTAAAAACCCATTTATTAAGGTTGAGGATTCAACATAAAATCTTCAAAACTCATAATTATAATACTCTATAGGTTCAAAATAGAATGTTCTTTGTATATTTATGCTCTTTAACTCAAGAATAGAATATCTTAATTTTATATAGTGCTTGTTGAGGTACTTTCTTAACATCTCTAGGTCAAACTTCTAATCTTATAACAAAACTAAATGGTGACGGTTAATACATATCTCTCATTTATTGCATCTTGCAATTACTTTATAAGCAAGTTAGGATCTGTTTTGAAACTTATGGAGATATGTTAGAAGCTTTCCTATTTGTTGATGATGTTCCACATTTATTATCAAGCTCAACCATCTTCACTTGAAAGGTTTGCTATAACTACTTCTTACTTATATAAACTCTCTATTCACAACTTTTAACATAATTAACTTCTATAATTTTATTTGTAATCCCTACTCAACTCACATCTCTTCCATTTTTCATACCATATAATTGCATAATATGTCTAAATTGTTTTACATTAGTTAATTTCATTCTAGCTTTAAAAAACAAGCCTTTATGGTTATATGTGGAATCATAAACGATCACTCTTTCCTAATTTTTCCTTCTTTTATGGGCAAATACATAGTCCTCATCACTTCCAAAAAAGCTAACCACTCATCTCTCGTTGCTTTCGTATGCATTTATGTATTTTTCTTCAATAGGTTGAAATATATTAAAACCATATAATACATAAGTTCTTCTAACCGATTGTGTAGAAACCACAAATTCATCACTAAAATGAACTCCAAACTACACTTGTTCCTCACACTCTTTCTTTGCTTTCTAGCCTCAATTAGTTCTTCATCTATAGAACTTTCATAATTAATGTCACTCAAACTATTATCACCTTATGGTTTCTCAACTCGGTAAGTAGTTTTCATCATCACTATTGGCATTCTCTTCATGCTCATCATCGCCTACATTTCCATCGTCCGCAACATCACTTGTAGCAGTCTACGTTACCACCCATCACCCGAAACATCAACTTGTTCAAAAACTATATCATCAACTATGCATTTCCCACCTCTTTCTTGAGTTACAACTTCATTTACTCAATCTATATCCCGAGTTGAATTAAGCATCATTACATTACCACATCCTCATCTACCTCCACGTAAATATGTGCGTACACTTGTTCACATACAATACCTAATATCTTCACAAACATCTCACCCTCATGTATAATTAAACCTTCCTCGCTTAGATTTAAACCAAGTTGTTTAAATACCATAACCCTATGTATCTTATATCCATATTCAATAATAATTTTATAGAGATATTTTAATGTCATATAATCAAGATCTTCTAATCATTTAACCGATACAACCCTAGCCTCTCGAACATAAGAAATGGGACCTAGGTTGTTGAATACCCTACCAATATAAAAATTCATTTTAAAATACTTAGCCATTCTATGGACATAAACACCAAAAGGATAAACAAATTTAAGTCATTTATGCGATGAAAATTGAAACCCTAAAACCCAATTGAATTATAAAATTCCACAAACATACTTGAAGACCACAATAAAAGTCAAAGCTCAAATTTCCTTCGATTCGAGCGCAATATCACAACTCTTCAATTTATAAGAACTCGAGTTTAGAAGTTAGGTCGCTATGCATATCATTAGTTGACCAATCATTTTTTCAATCTTTTGTTACAAAATCCTTAAAAAATAAAGTTAGGCGCATACAATCCCAACACACTCGTTACCTTTTTCACAATTAAAAACACCGATTGCTTATAATGCATTAAAATATCATGATTGATTAAACCAACATAATTTTGATAAAGCATTGCTCAAGTAAATATGACTTTAATTCAAGAAAGGCCTAATTTAGTCCTAACATATTATTTCATATCAATCGATTCTTAAATATTTTGATTTCATCAATTTTGGTCTAAATTTAACGAACTCAAACAATGTCATCCCATGATTCATTTGATGTTAATGACATTTAGGAGATTATCCTATATACTAAAGCAAAACGCTTTTCATCGTAGCAATGAACAAGTGTCAATCATTGTTCATTGCTACGGTATTTTTTTTTCATTATTTTTTTTGGTCGGACCCGTTGCCCCCCCATCCGTTTACTCGTTCATTTGAACAAGTGAACAACTTCCCTCTTTTTTTTTTTTTCTTCTAAACATTGATTTTTTTTTTAATTTCGTTTCTTAATAGTATTTAGTGTTAAAATTTTAAAAGAACCAACAATTAATTAGGCGTTAAAATTTTAAAGAAACCAATAATTTATTTTCTTTATTATTTATTTTTAAAATTTAAAAAAATAAATAAGAAATAGTTAAATACAAAATTTTTTATTAAAAAATTATGATTATTTTTTACCATAAAACAAATTATTAAATTGAAATAATTTTTCTAAACGATTTTATATATTTTATCCAACCCGCAAGCATAAGCGCAGGTAAAAAATCTAATACTATATACTAAAGAAAAACCATTTTTCATCGTAGCAATGAACAGGTGTTAATCACTTGTTCATTGTCTGTATTACTTTGGCTTTTTTTGGTTTTTTAAGTTTTCTTTTTTTTTTTACCCGTTTATTGTTCATTTGAATGGTAAACGGCTTACCCTCTCTTTTTTTTTTAATTTCCGTCCATTTACTATTCACATGAACAAGTAAATGGTCGCCTTTCTTTTTTTGTTTTTCCTAAACATTGAATTTTTTTAATTTTAATTTCTTAATAATATTAGGTGTTAAAATTTTAAAAGAACCAACAATTAATTGGGTGTTAAAATTTTAAAGAAATCAATAATTTATTTGCTTTATTATTTATTTCTAAAATTTAAAAACACGAGATAAGAAATAGTTAAATATAAATTTTTTTCATTTAAAAATTATAATTATTTTTTTATCATAAAACAGATTATTAAACTGAAATAATTTTTCTATATGATTTTATATATTTTATCTAATCCGTAACGTAACACGGGTAAAAATCTAGTTCCATCTAATTTACATGCGATCTTTGATTGCTTCCATGCAACATTAGAAAATAAAGCTCAATCTTCACATGTAGTAAATTCTTTCCATCTTCGCCTCCATCCAAGCTTGCGAAGCAGAGCAAAATTTGTTACGCATTTGACGTTCAAATTATCCTCAAGGATAAACTGAAACTTATTACTACGAATTGGATAAAAGCACTTAATAAGCACGTATGAATTGAATGAAAATTTTGACTGCCACCAACACCAAATGGATGATGGAGTATATTTAATGCCGATTATGTTTGGCCAAAATTGATAAAATAAAACTATTAAAACTCAATTTATAACGAGATGTTTTTTAGAGGCTAAATTGAGCTTTTTTGTTAATTTATATTTATAAAACTTTATCAAATAATTATATTTGATTTTTTAGAATTAATTCATAGAATAAATTACAATAACCTCATGAAATTATATTGACCATTAGATTTTTTTAAAAAAACATTACAAATTTTTTTAACCATTATGGAGAATAATTAAAACATATTACGAGTATTTTGTATACAAAAGGGAATTTTTGTAATATTTACTTTAATTTGAGAGATATTTTTATAATATCTTCAAATTTTTGGATTGTTATTGTCACGGTACGATGCCCCTAGGGGTTATGGCGACTAACCCTAATTTATAGACCCGCAGACACATATGCGTGCGTATACATTTAACGTTTCAGAGAATTAATTGAGGTCGGGGATTGATATGTAATTATTCCAAGAATATTACATCACTGTATATAACTACACAAAATTAACATTTAGACCTGCCTAATCAGTACTTTGACCGCTAATCACAAAAATATCTCTCACAGTTATATCAATCACCCCACGCCCAATATACTCCGCCTGCCCTCTTATTTCTCGAATTAGTACTCTATCGAAGCAGACTAATAGACATCTCCAATCTACTCAAAAAAAGCCAAACCCTCTCTCTTTCTCCAACTTTCAAGGCGGTTATCTCCCATCTCTTACTATCTCAATGGCAACCGAAGCAGAGAATCCTTCAACCGCCGCCCCCACCACCACTGTTGAAGATAACCCTAGCAAAACCCTAGACACGGCTGCTCCTGCTTCTACCAAGCCAGATCAAGTCGAAGATTCTTCCAATACTGCATCATCGGCAGTTGACTCAGCTACGGAAGGGCCTAAGCAGGACGCCGATGATTCAAAGAGCGCTGCCCCGGCCACCGACACCGAGAAGAAGATTCGCCGTGCTGAGCGGTTTGGAATTACTGTTCAGCTTTCTGAGCAAGAGAAACGCAATTCTCGTGCTGAAAGGTAGAAATATATATTCTTTTTCGTGTTATAGATTCATTCACGTTTATTTGCTATTCTAAACTTTGCACTTAGGGTTTTGATTTTCTTCTTCTTTGGGAGGGGGAGTTAGATTAGGAAAAGAAAAGCTTATTTTGCCTGGGATTAATGGACCTCTATTCAAATTTACCTATTAAGAATGTACATAACAGTTGATTTAGATTATTCTTTTCGTCGTGGCGGATTTTTAGCGCCAAGTTTAGGTATTTATATGGGTCATTCTGGGATGTTCAGAATTTGGTGTTCATGATGCTGCTTATGTGTTGGTTTTTCTAGGAAATGCTTGAATCTTTTGTAGAAGGTCTGTACTTTTTGTGTGTGAACTTATGCCTTATTTCTCGCTGAGGAACATGTTTCTGGCATTTGAAGATGTTTTTTTGGGGAAGGGGTTGTCTCTAGCGTTCTTTTGGGAGCTTAACTGGTGGTTTCGTGAAGTAGTGCGTATGTAATTTTTTTTTTGTGTGCGAGCTTAAATTATTATTTTGTGTCTATAATGGGTGGGAAATTGGTCTTGAGTTGTTTAGTAAGGTGGTGTGCATCTGGCTTGATCTGTTATTCTGTTCATAATTCTAAGTGGATAATAGAAGCCAATAAAACTAGGTATGGAGAAATTTCTTTCTAGATCTGCATGCATATGCCGCTGTGCCAGCACTGGTGTCCAGCTTGAGTCTGAGCAAGTTTCGCATAGGTGTCTATGTTTGTGCTTATGTACCCATGCAAGTGGGTCTGTGTGTGGGAAGGTGCTGTGTGGATGGCTGCGTGTGTCCATCCATGTGGTTGTGGTTTTTGTGAGTTCTATGTTCCAACTTTTGCTGGTGAAAACGTCTGTGCAGAACCTGATTTCCTTTTTCTATTCACCAACTGAAATTGTCAAATGTCTGTGCAGAACTTGATTACCCTTTTCTATTCACCAACTGAAATTGTCACAAGTGAACCTTGCTCTGGCATATGGAGATGTTTTATTGGGGAGGGGTTTGTCTCCGTTGTTCTTTTGGCAACTTAACTGGTGATTTTGTGAAGTAGAGTGTATGCAATTTTTTTTATGTATTGATGTTTGGGGATTTCTATGATGGTTGCAAAATTGATCTTCAGTAGTTTAGAAAGGTGGTGCACTTGGCTTGATCTGTTATTCTATTTATAAAACAAAGTGAATAGTTGGAGTCCATAAAGCAAGGTAACTTTGTTTCAACATTTGCGCATTTGATGCTGTGCCGGCCCTGTTGTCCAGCTTTAGTCTGTGAAGGAGCTTGCACTTTCGCGTGTATGCTTCTGCTTGTGTGCAAATGCGAGTAGGTGCATGTGTGTGTATGCATTGTATGTTTTTAATGAGTCTGTTCGTGCCAGTGGCATATTTTCCATGGAAATGTCTGCTAAGAAATTGATTTCTTATTCCTATTCACTGACTGAAATTTTCATTTGTGAACCTATCATTTTGTAGGTTTGGCACTAAATCCACATCACAGCAGTCAGAGTCAGACTCAGTGAAGAAATCAGAGGAGCTGAAGAGGAAGGCTAGAGCAGAGAGGTCTTGTTCCAAGTTCCATCCTGGGTTTAAATAGCTTTAGTTTAATTGCTTTAGCGTTGTTATTCATTTTACTGTTCTTGTAGGTTAGTCCTTAAACGTTTTATTGTTTCTTCAGGTTTGGGATTCCTGTGCCACCCACAGCTACTGATGAGGAGGCAAAGAAGAAAGCTCGTCTTGAAAGATTTGCATCATCTCCTAAAATAGATGCACTGGAAGAAGACAAAAGGAAGGCAAGGGCTCTCAGGTCTGTTTAACTGCAAACTGCTCTGAGTTGTTAAGAATTTAAAATGCTTGTGATTCATAAGAATTGTGACTAACATGCTACTCTATGCTTCCAGGTTTTCACAAAGTTCATCTGGTTCTCTATCAATGAATGGCAATGGGGATCTTGAACCCGTAAGACCTTCTTTCATGGAGAACTGTTCCATTTTATTTGAATAGGATAAATTGTCATTTATATTTATATCAGTTCTTGGTACTCAATTTTTTTTTTCCTGCTTCCTCAATCAGAAGGCAGCTGTTGCGGGCAATGCTGGTGGAGGGTCTTGAAGAGAGATTTCCTTTGCTAATTTTTAGGTATTATTTGACATTTTATTTTCTAATTTTCAGGTGTTTTTTAGGGAATAATTGTTAGGTGTGGTTTTTTTTTTTTTTTTTTGAAATATGCTTTACATTGGAGGCTACTCTATTGGCCATATCGACGTGAATTGGCATTTTATCTTTGATCGGTTTTTCAGTCTTGTTTATTTAAGTTTCAATTGAGCTATTTCACTTAATCTTAATTTTTGTTTTGTTGTTGTTTTTGCAGGTTTAGTGTTCTAACATGAGATTCTCTTAGTGGCTTCTATCCCTATTTTCATTTTCCAGCTAAAGAACTCCCAGATGCAGCACTCTCATTCTCAGATAATGCCCTACAGAGGAGTTGACAGGATTGTGGTACCTCTGGTTTCAGATTAGCTATTGATGTCATTCACCTGGGATAGAGGAATCAACAAGGCCTTTCAGTGTTCACTTTTCTTGAAATCTTCTAAAAATATCAGAAGTTCTGAATTTTGAATTTAGGAAAAATGTTAATGTTATAAGCCTATTTAAAGAAAGTATCTAGCGATCTTTTTTCCATTGGACAACTTTACTGTAACGGACATGTTGCTAGTGTCTCTCATATATTCATGAAGCTGCATGTTCATGATCTAGTATTAAACTGGGTTGCATTACATCATTCACGACCTCTAGATTTCAAACATGTTTCTTACTTCATTAGGAAATGGGGATGATTCCTACCAATTCATAAGTGACCCAGAGAATGGGTAATTATGAATAAAATTATTTGGGGAGTCTTATTTTGGATGTTGTAAGCATGTATCCATGGATCATGGTCATTCGGCAGTCTTTTGCTATTTGGCAGTCTTAGAAGCCTAAAACCAAAGCTAACAGGCATAGATAAGCCTGCATTTTTAAAATTAGAACATTTGAGAAGGCTGCATTCTTTTCATATGCATTAAAGCATGCAAATGTTTTCAATCCTTTTTGAGATGCAAGTGAACTAGAATCGGTTCTTAACATTCCTTTTCTTTGGCTTTTTAAATTTTTTTAATTTTCTTTTATATTTCATGCCATGACTGTGCATTAGAACATATTGCATTAAACCATAGATAGATTGGCTAAGTGCATCACATGCTCCCATGTTTACATGATACTATCAGCTGTTCTGATGTGTGAGATCTGGAGACAGATGCATGTGCTACTTATTGCTGCTGTTCAACGGTTGATCATGAAGTGTATTTCCAAAATTGACATATTTGACATTGATTTGAGTATATTGAAGGTAAAGTTGTTAGCGAATGCATAAGTGTTGTGCTTACAGGTTGATAATGGGCTGCAAAAGGAAATCCTTTTTGGTTAGGGATTCAGAATTTCTGATATTCTTTCTGGTATTTTGAGATCAGTGAACACTTCAAAGGTGTTAGTGATTTTTTTTGGCCTCATGATGAATTGCTCTGCAAGGTAGGCTGCTGGGAATGGATAATATCTTGATAATTGGGCTGTTAATACAAATATGTTTCCTTTTGTAGTTTTAATTTAAGTATGACTTCATTACATATTGTAAAAACACTGCATCTGAAGTTCTTGTTATCGATATTTGGGATGGAAAGACCAGGGAACTATGATTGGGAGAATCTGTAGAATTTCTTTCTTTTCTTTTTTTCTTTTCTTTCTTTCTTTCTTTCTTTTCCCTTTCAATGTTTGCAACATAATCTCTATATTTGGTGTTTTCTTTTGCTGGTGCTCGTTGGTATGAATTTTATTTTCACAGAATTTATGAGTTTGCCATGATAGCCCTCGCCCTAGTAGTGATGTAGTTTCTGATATGCCAGATGCTAGAAATGATATTCAGACGGAGACAGGGTGTCTTGTTTGTGAAATCATTGCAGGGGCTCCAATGGAGTTGGTGTGAGGATGCAACTATCTTCATGCCTTTTGATATTAGATGAAGTTTGTTTTTGACCTAGCAATTCCAATCTTTATTTTGCTTATGAATATGGAGAAGGGAAGACGGACTTAATGTTAATTTGTCTAAGGTAAAGATGGAGGACTTGTGTCAATTATGGAGAAGGGAAGACGGACTTGATGTTAATTTGTCTAAGGTAAAGATGGAGGACTTGTGTCAATTGATCTAAAGTTTGATTGATTGATGGAGGTGGAAAATTGGTGAGTTTTACATGGGAAATGATAGTATGAATCATTTTTTAGTTTGAGCTTTTCTGGTGCCTGAATTAACAGCAACTAAAAGGCATATGCTCAATGTCCGAGGGCGAAAAAAATAAACGGCCCATATTTCGTGGAATAATAACTCATCGTACACCATTATATACTAGGCGCTAGTGAATGTCCCAGAGTCAAAACATGGGTTTCTTTCCGCCATGAGTTTACACTGAAAGTAAGGCAGCCGACAACGGCATGTGCTACCTATTGGCAACAGTGCTAATGAATAGACATGTTAGGTTCATAATATTGCCCTGAATCCCTGATACGTGAAAGCTTCTTGATGGGATTCTCTTCTTTAATACTGAAAGCATGGGCATGGTTTTTCAAAGAGTTTAGGCATCGATAGGAGCGATAATGAGTTGCATGCCACATATCTCTGACTATGTTATTTACACAGGAGATGACATTGGAGAGGGGAGGAGGGAAAGACTTGTCAAGAGGGAAGACCAAACTTAATATTTGGTTGTTGCAATGTCACACGACGTCATTGCTCATTGTCTGTTAACATGGTCCGATGCATCTGTTTATCATCATTCACGTATATATGTGTGTGGAATTGAAAGTATTGTGTACCTTAAAATTTCCTAAAACATCCTAAAAGTGGGGTGATTCAACTCGGGAGAGGACAAGCAGCAACCTTTATGTGAAGCTTCAACTTACATTTTACAATACTGAATGATCCATCGTCATGAATTCAGTCAAAGCAATACTTAAAAGCAAGTGATTCCAGGAATTCTATTTTTATGGAATTGTACGAGTCAGCACTCTTGTTCCATATTCTGAATGGTTCTCATTGTAATAGTTTCTCATTAATAAATAGGTTGATGCGCCAAAACCTAAAAAAGGCCCAAAAAAAGGCAATGATTCAAATAGGAGGCCCAAAAGAAGCGCAAGAAGATTCAATATTTATACAAACAAAGTTATATGATTTAGCTTCATTTTAATTTTGTATGGCTGCAATCAATTACAAGCTCCATATTTAACAGATCAGTTTTGAGGCAAATGTTGAACATTTTTGGCTTGTCAAGTGGGGTAACAGCCAGAAGTCTATCGAAGAGAAATGTGTTTTGCCATTGTGAGCCACCTTTTTGGGTCTCATGAAACTGGATGTCTTACACAATCTTCCAACAACAATCTAAAGATAGTTATAGACTATAGAGAGATCAAACACTAGAATCTTGCACCGATTTGTATACAGTGGGGATGCTTTTTCCTCCTATCGAAAAGGGGTGGCTACTGGTGGAACTTCTATTGATCAAATGAGAGTCTATATACACAACTATGACACTAATATCATCATGAAAATGTCTCCTGACCCCTCGTTCAATCTTTTTCAAATCTGTGTACCTCATCTCTCTTTTCTTAGCTGCTTCCCGAAGTGCAGCTTTAACAAGTCTCTTGGCGATTCCCTGCATTATAGATATGGAAAAAGAATCAAGTTAATGCTTTGAAACATCAATGATCATGACAGTTCACTACTACAACATGTTACTTCTTAAATCTTATGAGGAAATTATAAATTATACAAGCGTGGAAGAAAACAAATGTTGTCTAGCTGTAACCATAGCCAGCATTGAAAATGAAAAAAAAAAAAAAAAAAACAACTGTTTCTGATGGAAACCAGAATCAGAACAGCCATGAATCTAGTTGGAGTTACTTCTGGTCAGGTGGCAGAATACTTGAGGTAATTACAGTTTAAACATTATTAATCACTGCAATGTTGCAATGTGAACTGCTGAATAAACAGCTTTCAAGATGATTGAACTGGTTTACTCATGATGACATGGAGAGAATGGGAGCTTACGTTCCGTGGGAAATTTTGGATAATGTCAATAGCCTCCTGATTGCTAAGATGCTCCCATAGACCGTCAGAAGCAAATATTAGGAATTGATCTCCTGGTTGGAGTTTGCGCACTAGTATTTCTGGCTCTGGACTAAGGATTGGCTTGTGGAAAGCTTCAGGCAGTCTAAACTTTGACTGTAGAGGCTCTCGGTTGAACTCTGACCTTTTAAGATAGCCATCTCCTATGGATCTTGAAACCTGCAAAGATAAATGTAAACAAATTAAAAATGGTTACCTAAAACTGCTTAACCATTTCAGATTGTTAAGTTCTCATGAAAGGAAGTAACAAAACATATCACCTTATGCCGGGATAAACCTTCTAGTTAATGTTCATGAAAAAACCATTTTCCTAATGAGTGCAATGCTATGGGCAGTAAGATCAAATTATGAAAAAAATTCCTTCCATTACATCAAGTGTTTTCCAACATAAACAGCTAGGACTACGGGAATAAAAATGCCAGAAAATTACCTGTATGATGCCTTTCACGCGCCAAACTTTGTACTTCTGGACAACAATCTGTGAATCATTGGGGTGCAAAGACCGGAGTTCATCTCTCACAGATTCTATATTAGCATTGTGATCCGTAGATAATTGTACTGCTTTAACTTCCCTGGTTCCTCTTTCTGCTCTTCCTAGAACCACTCGGGAGTCTCCAGCATTTGCAATATATAATAGTCCATTGCATATGACTCCCACCAAACAACAGGATCCCACAGATGCCATATGGGGATTACTGAGCCACTGCTTTTTCACAAGAGAAAGAAAATCCTCTTCTGTAGCTGCAAAAGCCTTCTTGATAACAGTTTCTGAAACATCTTGTTGCTCAGAAACAATTTCTGCATCATAAATAAGCATAAATTAGCAACATTAAGCATCTGCTTGTCCATCTGAAAGATAGATAGATCGTGTCGGAACCAGGGCATCTGTTACTAATCAATGCTTTTGGTCAACTGGGAAGTTAAATATAGATCCATACTAAATAGATCCACAAGAGAATCAATCAATTTGAAGTATCAAATAAAATTTCTCAACCCATCCTCTTGGTGTGCATGTAAGTGTCTATAAGCTTGAAAATCAAAAGTGAGGGATGAGTGAGACCATGAGGAACAATTTTTCTACAGGCTAACTCTATGTTTCAAGAAAATGCATCTAAGTTAAGAACATCAGAACTCTAAACTTGACCAACATGAAACTACCTTCATTTAGACACAATCCTACTTGAAAACATCATTCACTAGATTTTTGAGTCACGAACTTGATTTTTTCAGGAATCAAACAAAACAATAAGCTTCACTAATTAATTAAGCAGCAGTCCAGATAGTAAGCAAAACAATTAATCTGAAAACATACTTTTGAAATTGGAGAAAAGGTTGTGGTTGATAAACTTTGAAGCCTCAGTTCCTCCATGTCCATCATACACTCCAACAAAAGTTCCCTGTGGACCTGAATTAGTTGAAGTAAAAGGGCCCGATTCAAGTTGGCTTTGATCCTCTATCAAGGTATTGGCTTGAATTACAGCCATTGAGAACTGTCCATAAACATGGTTCCCCAAATTCTTATACCACAGCAACCCATCAACCTTCCCAGTGCCAGTGGCATCATCCTCCACACAAGGTCTCCAACAAGGTTTAACCATTTTGAAGAGATCGCTTAGACCACAACTACAATTACAACTTTATAGTAGTAGTAGCAATAGTACTTACGTTCACTTTATCCAAATGAGCCAGGAACCAATATATTCACAAAACTAAATCTGAAATCCAGTTTCTGCTTATGCTCCAATTTTAGAGTCCCAGTTCTTGAAACTATATAGCCACAAAACTCAGACACCATTAATAAGTACAATTGTCAAATAAGGACCAAAAGGGTATGGGCTAACTTAACTGAAAAGCGGATATTGAGACAAGGAGGCAATAGTTTTTAAGTGAGTTCAGAGAATATGGAGGTGTGCTGGTGCAATGTACCTTGAATCTGGGTTAAGTATGTTTGGTCCTTTCATGTGTGCCATATTTCAAGAAACAGACTTAGCTGGAAAAGAATACATGGAGTTGGTAGTGGCAGAGTTTGGTCTGAGATCAGAGAGATCAAAGGGAGCAATGGATAAGAGAAGGGGTTTGGAGTTTTTTGACAGAAGATCTTCAGTTTTGTTGTCAGATGACATCCAAGGATGGGAAATAAAGAGATTTTGAATTAAAATGCCTGAGATTGTTGTTCTTTCTTTCACTTGGGAGCTCTACTTGTTTTGTTTTTTTGTGCTTTTCATGTTTTGTGGTCTAGTGGTGTTTTTTTTCTTTCTTTTTTTGCTTTTTTCCTCCCCAAAAGGTTTCTCATTCCATGGCTGAGGTTTTCAGTCTTCTTTTCATTGCAATTTGTAAGCAATAACACACTGTTTTAGGTGCTATTATTGCTTAAACTTAGGTTTCCATTTCCTGTTTCCAAGTTAAGCGAGGTTCTTCCTAACTATCTCTAGCACAAAGGTGGTATGTTTTTGCTAAATTCAGGATTCTGAAACATCGAACTGACCTTTGTTTTTATGTTTTTCCTTTGTATTGTTAGTGCCTTTGTGGTGCTTCCTTGTCTTTTACCTTTTGGGTAAACATAACCATATATAATATCTAAAATCTCTTATGTTTTTAAGTTTTTAATACATTTCATTTGTTTTTATTTTTTTAAAAAATATTTAATTTATTTTTTGATTAATTTTTCTGGCAACAAATTTTTTTTATTGAAATATTTCTGATTAAAATGAAAAATAAATAAATAAAATTTTAAAAACTTTAAAAATAAAAATACAGGTCATATGACTTTAAATATTTTTTATTTTGTATTTTATTTTTATATTTTAGTAAAGGATGTTTTGGTCAAATATTTATTTACAGTCGAAAATATTTATCAAAAGAATAGATTGAATATTTCAAAAAAATTTCAAAGACAAATGAAATATATTTAAAAATTTAAAAACAAATATAATAATTTAAGTATTATATAAGAACCAATAAATATATTTACCATTTTTTTTAAAAAAAGTAAGGTCTTGTGGTGGTTTAAAAGGCTAATAATAAAATATCGTAAAGTAAATATCAATTGAGTCAACGGTTTACGAGGTCTTTCTACTCTTCCTTATATTTTTATAGTGTTCCTGTATTCTTTTTATTTTAAATTCATTCTTTTATATTTAGTTTCTATCTTAATTTCTTTCCTTCATTAATTTTTAAATTAATGGTATTAACTTTTTTTTATCTCTTAATCATCTCTCTATTATTTTTTTTCCGTTTTAATCTTTTTTTTTACTAAATTTAAATAAATAACTTTGAAAAAGAAAAACTAGAAAAAATTGAAGATATATTCGATTATTCTCTTTAAAAATTAAAAATTAAAAAAAGTGAAGCTAAAAATATTTTTTAATCCAACATATTCTTTATGGGTTTAAATTTATCTATATGATAGTAAACAAAATTTGATATAAAAGAATATAGGTTTTTTTTTTTTTTTTTTTTTTAATGTGAAGAGAGTTTTAGTCAAAATTTTCAACTTATGAATGCTATTTATAATTTCATAATTCCTCGAAAGAGTGTATTATAATTTACTTATTTTAATTTTATAAAATTTTAATTTGACTCAAAAAAGAAAATATAAATTTTAGTCAAATTAAGAAATTCATTAAGGTTTGGGTCCAACACTAATCTAAAATTGTATTTCACTTTTGAGTTGAATTAAGAAATTTATAAACTCAAAATAAATAAATTAAAATAGAATCATTTGAAATATTAAAAAAATTATAAATACTATTCAAAAATTTCAAAATTTAAACTAAAACTCTCTTTGTATTTTTGTAAAAATATTTATCATAAAGTTAATAATAACAATATTATAAAAGTATGACAATAGTAAACGAATTAGAAAGAAATATGATAAAAAAGTGACTTCCATCTATTTTGTAAATATTACACGAATTCTAGATTATAAATTTAATGGGGAATAAATACATTCATGCATGATAATGGTAAATTGAATTACACTAAAGAATATAAATAGTTATAGAGAATAAGAATATTTATGAACATTCATTATTTCATAACACTCTTCTTTGAATATCCATTGTACTAAAAATATGTCTTGTTAAAACTTTACTAAAAAAACTTAGTGGGAAAAAATTATAGTAAAGAAAGAAAATACAATATTTTTTGTACACTTTAATCCCCATGTTGGGTTCACCTTATTGAAAACATTATTTAAGACTCTTAAAATGACGCATTCTAATTTTGCAAACTATTTTCTCATAAGTTATAATAGGTGACGCCTTAGTGAATAAATTTGTTGGATTGTCACTTAATCAAATTTGTTGAATGTTAATATCATCATTTCGTTAAAGATGTGTAAAAATATAATTTAGATGATATATGTTTTATTTTTTCATCTTTCATATATAATTCTTTTAATTGAGTTATGCAAACAATATTATTTTTATATAATATTATTGAAACTTTCTTGCTAATGGATAAATTGCTTATCTCTTGGATACGATGGTTCATTGATTTTAGCCAAATACATTCTCAACTTGCTTCATAAATTGTTAGTATTTCAGCATGATTGTAGTCGCTATAGTTTATTTTATAAAACGCCATGATATAACTGTATCATCATGTGTAAATACATGTTTGTGATCAAGGTTTTTATGGATTAGATAAATAGCATGTATCTAGATAACTAGTTAATCTTGACTTTGATTTATTTGAGTAAAATAATTTCATATCAAGTAATTCTCGGAGATAATATAGTATACGTTTAATTCTATTTCCATATCTTTGTGTTGGAGTAGAACTATGTCTTGTTAATAAATTTATAAAAAATGCTATATGAAATTGAGTATTATTAGCATGATATATCAATGCACTAATTGCACCAAGGTATGATATTTCAAGACCAAGAAGTTCTTCATTATCTTTTAAAAAACGAAAAAAGTCCTTTTAAATATCAAGTGAATGAATAATCATTGAATTGCTCAATGGATGAGCTTTATCCATATAGAATCGTGGCAAAACCTTTTCTATATAAGTTGACTAATGAACAAAAATTTCATCTTCTAAGTGTTTGAATTACGGATCGAGATAAAATTTTATCTTCTCAATATCTTTCATATCAAATTTTTTTTTAAATAACTTATGATACTTAAAATCTCTTTAGGAGTTTTAATAATATTTAAATTATCAACATATACCGCAATCACCACGAACCCATTTCTGTATTTTTTGTTTTATAAAAACACAAGGACAAATAGAGTCATTTTACAGACATTCTTTCAAGCAAACACTCACTATGGCGATTATACCACAAGCACCCAAATTGTTCCAATCTTGTCGAGATTTTTGTAATTTAATTGAATATATTTTTCAAAAATATAAATTACATGCTTCAAGCATCTTAAGTCATTTTGGAACTTTTATATAGATATTATAATCAAGTGAATCATATGAATAAGTTACGATCACATCCATTAAATGTATATAAAATGTTTTCATGTGTTGTTAGACTAACGAGATAATGAAATATAATTGCATCTTTTATAGTAAAATATGTCTTCTTGTAGTCAATGTCGATTTTTATGAAAATCCTTATGCTACAAGTCTTACTTTGTATCTCATAATTTTATTTTTTTCTTTCTTTTTTCTTTCTTTCTTTCTTTTTTTTTTTTTTTTTGCATAAAGATCCATTTGTATTTCTCTGCCTTAACATCTTTATGTGTTTTGAATATTGGTACAAAAGCTGCTTGTTTTGTAAGATAATTTAATTATACCTTGATTATATTTTTCTATTTAGGCCAATCATCTCTATATTGATATTCTTCAATATATTTAGGCCTAAGATCTCTATTTTCATTTAAAATATAAATTGTAACATTATATATAAAAATCTTATCAACGGATGTTTCTTTTTTGTCTTATTTTCTCCTTATATTGAAATAATTTATCAAAGTCTCTTTATTTTTCTCATTCTAATTATTTTCAAGCATTTACGCTTCTTCTAAAAGCCTACTATCGGATATATCTTGGAATATTTTATAAATATTTGCCATTTTATATTTTTATCTTGATTATTTGTTATTTTTTCTTTTGAGAATTTTTATTCTTAGAATTAATCGATCTTTCACGCTTTAGACATGCTTTAAATTCATTTTCTATAACATTAATAGGTGGTCATAGTAGAAAATCAATTCTAATAGGAGTGTTCTCGGTAGAGATATGTGATTTAGTTACTCTCTTTAGATTAAAGAATGCATCTTGTAGTTGGTTTGCAAGACTTTGTAAATGAATTATCTTTAAACTTCTAGTTCATATTATTTTTTATGCGGATATCAAGATGATGTAAAGATAGAGTATTCTATATAATCTCATGTTCTAATACTTCCATCTTCTTATTCTGCTTATTTTCTCCTTCTAATGTTAACAAAAATTATTTCATCAAAATGATAGTTGACAAATCAAGTCGTAAAAATATTCTCTCGTTAATGGTTCAATATATTTAATTATAAAAGAAGATTCATATCTAATATATATTTCTAATCTCTTTTGAGGGCTCATTTTAGTTCTCTGTGGAGGAGCAATGGAGATATATACTTCAAATTATTGGATTCATTAT